AAAAAATAAAAAAAAAAATAAAAAAACACATCATAGTAAAATTAATACCTTCTCAGCTTCGCATCGAAGCTAAAAAACACAACATAGTAAAATTAATACCTTCTCAGCTTCGCATCGAAACTAAAATTAATTCATCCAATCCTATGTATTTGACTCAACTCAGGAGCATATTGAGAAATTCATATTAGAGGACACAAATAAAATATTTCTTAAAAAATCTCTATATTCCTTCTATCAATTCTTTTTTAGTTAATTTTTATTAAAAAAAAAGTCAACAAACATATTTATATTAACATTGCACGGTCATTGACAGGGTGCAAATGCCCCCATGTCCCCTCTAAATACTCCAATATACACAAAAATTTGTACCCCCATGTAAGATATCCTATTTTAACTATAGAAGTACCTCCAGAAATATTTGTATAATTATGTATGACTATAAAAAACTAAACTAGGATAAAATGTTCATTCAGCACCTTATAATATATAAATAGTAATAGTAAGTATAACTTCGATATTATTTGTGACAAACGATGTTTTTGATATATGGGTTGATATTGGAGATGTATGGGTACTTTTTAAAAAATTAAAATAATTGGACTTTATGCAGTCTTAATTTTATAATGGATAAAAATAGTATGAGTAAAAGATAATTTTGTATTGATTAACTAAAGATTAAATCTTGATTTTACATAAGTTAGTATATTGACGTGCGACAGAAAAGAATGTATTCCGGAGGAGTAAAGTCAAACAGAAATAAAAAAATTTATCGGCCTAATAGAATGAATAGGAAAGAGAACAAAAGTCAATACCAGCGTAGTACTGTTGATCTTAGAGGAGCCAATTACAAAATAGGATTTAAAGTCGAGTATATTTTTTATTTAACATGTAAAGTTTTTTTAAGAATTTAAAAGAGCTAAGCTCCTAACATAAGCCAATACTATCCAATTTCAATTTTTGTTTTACAAAAAAAATGAATGAATATCATCATGAATTCATTATTTTTAGTAAATATGAATATGAATGCATTCCTTTTGAAAAAAAATAATGTTGTATGTGAATGCATTTGATTATGTGCTCGATAAATGCTTAGGTAAAATTTGAACAAAATATTTGGAATGCCTAACTTAAGTTCTGCCTTTCATTAAAATATTTATATAAAAGAAATTTCAATCATCATAATTTTTAGGAAGTTTGACTCCTTTGGATTGAGTATGTGGAGAATCAGTCTGGTCAACCAAAGGCTTTTATATCTATTTATATTATAGGTAAAATATGATTTAAAATAATACATGGTTTAATAAATATAGAATAATTTACAGGTTCAATTTTTATCAGAATGGAAGAACTAAAGAAAAAAATGATATTTGATTACTTTTTTTTGTTCAATAATTTTCTAAAAATTCCATTTTTAATCAAAAGTTAGTTCGTCCATGAATTTTGTGGATAAAAGAATTCGCATCTTCCGTGCTTTCACCATAAACACTCCCTTATTTATTTAGGTTTAAATAATCTTAATTTAAAATCATAAATCATATAATATTAAACGTAACAATTTTGTCATATTTATACACAGTTGCATGATTTAACAAGAATGAATAAGAACAGCTGTTGTTATCAATTTTTTATAATCTTTGACAACACCAATTGATTAAGATATGCTAATTTAGTCTTAAGATATTGACTTTCTTTAAAATCGTAGGGAAGTCTATACTTTCTTGAATGAGTTATTGAAAAATTTTTATCATAACTACAGTGATAAATATTATTAACAAATTAATTAATAATTATATGTCGTATACTAGAATGTGAAGTCACATCCTAGTTTAATTCAAGTTTTATCTTGCACAGATGATGAAATTTGAAAGTTAAAGATTACAAGTTTTGAAGATAAATAAAAGTTCTTGTTGGTAAGTATCATTGGTTGTTTATTATCAGATAATCTATATTGATAAAATCATACATTTTTTAATTAATTATAGTTCTAATATCAATTGATGTCATTACTTATAAATACAAATTAAGGCTCAAAATTCTATATTGATTTGTAATATTTTATATACTTATTATATAACACAGCTTTTGAGAAAAATGATTGAAGAGCCAAAAGAAATAGAAGATCAAGAAATCATAGTAAATGAGATTGATGGTCTTCCTAGTTTACATGATAACCAAAAAGATCTACAAAAAGCACTAGCCTCTGAGCAATCATCATTGGAAGATTTGAATGATGAAGATTTACCGACTTCTTTAATTATTACTAATGTTGATCCAGCAATTTTTAAAGATGATGATCTAAAAGTTGTATTTTGTTATTAATTGTTTTTGTAATTTTTTTTATTTTTATAATATTTGTAGAAAGAAATAGAAATGATGTTTAGTAAATTTGGAGAAATTCTTTCTGTTCAATATTTTCGAAGTTTTAAACGTATTAGAGTTAATTACAGTACTTCATTGTCTGCAGCTAATGCTAGAATTCAAATGCATCAAATACGTTTCTATGACACAGTAATTAATTGTTACTTTGCACAGGTATATTTATGTAATATTCAATTAAATTTAAATCTTATATTTGAGTAGTGTTTTTTTAGTAGAAAAATAATGAAATTTTTTATAATTATTAAACTTCTAGCCTGTAACACCAATGGATGCTGCTGATCAACATTTACAATTGCCAGCTCCAGTAAAACAATTTTTGATTTCACCTCCTGCATCTCCACCTGAAGGATGGGTACCAAGGGCTGAAGGAGAACCACTTATTAATTATGATTTAATTGCAGCAATTGCTAGTCTTACTCCTGGTAAATAAATATTTTTTAATTATTAGTAAAACTAAAAAGTTCAACTCTTGAATGAAATTTAAAATGTTGTATTAGATGTCATTATTGTTATCATATTAAAAATGGATTGACTTAGTTTATTTTTAAGTGCATAAATTACTAAGTTTTAAAGAAAATTGTAATATTAAAGCAGTCTTTTAAATATTTATTTAATAAATCCTATTTCAAATCTTTTAGCGAATATTATCTTTTTTAATGATGTAAGATAATTTTAACACTTATAAAGTGATCCTTTACTGATTATTATCACTGAAAATATTGTGGATATCACATTAGAGAGGCAAAAGGGCAGTTTGTAAAAATTTATATATATATATATACACACACACAACTTGTATAAAATTTTACTTGAATTTAGTATAAATACAAATTATTACACTATGTAACTCTTATGTAGGTCAAAACTTTAAGACTGTTTATTTCAAAATGATACTGTCTTCTTGTACTGATTGTGATATTATCTGTAATATTAATTATTTTAGTTGTATATGCAGAGTGTCCAACGAGGTATTGACAAATCCATATACTCTTATGGTAATATGTCAAAACCTCATGGGATACTATATATATAAATGTGTGTGTGTATGTATATAATCATTTTGTCTAATATTAATATTAATAATAATTAGTAATATAAATTGGCAATTCTCTTGCAGTTGAAAACTTGAAAATCGACATTAGGGGTGCCAATGAATATACGGATAATACAAGATTTGTATTCAAAAGAGTGCAAATTCAATCAATATAATTATTATATTAATTAAAATATTTTTAATTGCTAGCAAATTATAATTATCAATATCATTTAAATAAACAATAACAAAAAAACTAATAACATATTTATATTTATTATATTTTCAAAGGTGTGCTATATCATGTAAATTTGTTGTTACTTGAATTCAGAATTTTTTTTTTTTTTTTTTTTAAGTTATATCATTAGTTAATTCATACTTTTTTTATTTCTAGGACAACCTCATGAGATTCATGCACCTACTGATACACTACCAGGGATTGTTTTGCATGTTGCTGAAGGCTATGGAAATAAAAATACAGTCACGATTCCTCACACGAGGTTACCAGATAAATAAAATTATACTTTTTTGTTTTACTGAATTTAAGCACTTAAAAGCATGTTTTTTAATTTAATGATCAATTATTTCATAGTTAATAGTAAATATTTGTTTATATACTATTTTTGAAAGTATAAGTAGTTAATTAGTTGATAATAATTAAACATTTTATTTAAACTGATTACATGTTGATATTTTCTCTCATTCTAGTTACTTACCTCCTTAAGACTGTCTTTTAAAACTTTACCAAGAAATGTATAACTATAATACATCTTATTTTTTAACTGTTATTTAGTTATCTTGTACATAATTTTAAGCTAACATTTTTTTTTTCATTTTTAGTACCTATTAATGTTGAAATTATTTTTTACATTTATTTATAGTTTATCAAAAAGAAATCTTATTGTCTTTTCAAAAATTCTTGTAATTTAAATTTTATTTTATTAAATATATAATATGTATCTTGAAAATATTTTTGTTTTGTAAATGTGTCCAAAAAAATTGATTAAGATTACTACTATTTGAAAAAACAATTGTTGTATGTACCTGTATCTGTAAATCAATCAAAGTATACATATATAGATTGATCATAATATTTTATTATAATTATCTACAACTTATATGCTTACTTTCTTGTACATAAAAATATATAATTACATACAAAATACTTTGACAAGATTATTCCTAAAGTAATTAAAAATATATATATAATTAACACTGAAAACAAACATTAACAGTTATGTAAATTTACACAAAAGTCTAATGTAGTATCACAGAAAGTATGGTACCATATTAAGTAAAGAATGACAATTATGCTATGTACACAAAATTATTTATATCATCTTCATCTCGTTTCATATATTTATGCTCAATTAACCATTCAATTTGTTCTTTTATCATTTTTTTGCTAGGTAAAAACATGTTCTTCAATATGTCTACTAATTCAGTTTGAAGTTTCCAATTTGATATTTGTTTACGCATTTTTAGAATCTTAATTATTGCTTCCTATTTAATAATTATGAAATAATTTAGTGACCATAATTAACTTTTACCTAAATACATGAATAATATATTTTTTTTTTTACATACTTGAACTCTTAATATCCTAAGCTGAACAATACATTCATTATCTTCTTCCTTGCTACGCTCAGTTGATAGTTGTAATCTACCAATCAAATTAATTTTCCCTCTTTTTTGAAGTTTACCATTCTTTCTACAAATAACATTTTTTAGATGAATTTGATGATTATAGAATTTTATTTACAATTTTTTTATCTCTTATTTTTACTTACACAATTGAAAATTGTTCATTTATCCAAAAAGTTGTATTTTCATTGAACTCTTTAGGAGATGGTACTTCAGGTGACACTAATACAACCTGCTTTTTTAACTTAGGAAAAGCAACTAAAGACTGTAATATAGAGTGTAATGTTGAGTTCAATAATATCTATTACAGACAATGATTTAACCAAAATAATATAATAATAATATTAACCCATAATGTTCTCCGAAGTTCTGGATCAGGTAATTCTGTAGCAAGCCTAAGATTTTCATAAGAAATTTTGTCTTTTGGTCTTTGATTCCAAGCAAATAATACAGCCATTTGAAATGTTGTGACATCAACATCAAAACGTCCAATTTCGTTAGTAAATGTTATCTATACATGATTAACAAAAAATATTTTAAGCAAGATTTATAATTTGACAAAAAATTAGTAAATCTCACTGTTCCGTTAGACATATGATGGTACCATTGAAGTTTACGTCCACTGTGTTTTTTTCTATAAAAATCTTCTACTTCAGGTATATAATCTTCTAACTCCATTGGAAGAGAAACTGTTACTCTTTCACTTCCTCGAGACCATGCTCCAGCATTTAATATTTTTATATTAATTGAATCTGAAATTTTCAACAAAATTTCTCACAACTATATTTTATTCAGTCAAAATTCTATCTAAATTGAAATAATTTTCAAAAACCTAAGTTGAATTAAATTTCAATTTTAATCTATTTATTACTGTATTGTTAGTTTTAAAAGGAAGTTTTATAAATACAACAAAGTTCTAAATATTAATACGTAATTTTAAATTAATTTATATTTCAAAACTTTTAATTTCATTCTTTATCAGTTGAAATCCAGGTGAGAATAATGTACTAAGTTACAATTTACAAATTTTTTTGTAATAAAGATGGCTATGTAAGTGCTTTTATTAATTGAATGATCAACAGATAATTATTTAACATAATTATTATGAGTGATAGGATCATTCTGGAATTTTTTCTACCTCAAAAATATATTAAGATTTTTTAGTAAAACAATATTCTGTGACAAAAAAAATAATTTTACTTAACATATTATACCCAGGCTTCAATTATTATTCATAAATTTATCTACTGAAATTCTGAATTTCATTTTTATTATTTAAAGTAATATATCTATCCATAATGTATTTAAGTCAATCTACTAGAGTACAACTTTTATTAAACAATAATTATGACACTCAAAATAAATAAACATTTCAAAAACTTTAAAAATTATTTTTAGAAGTCTGAAATTCAGTAGTATGATTAAAATAATTATTGACTATAAGTAGTGGCAACAATATTAAATTTTATATGTATTGCATAAAAAAAAACCATTTCTAAAAAAAATTCTTAAGTAAATTTATTAAGCAAATTAAATAAAAGTTTTAAATAATCATATAAAGTAATTCATATTACCAGCAATACTTCCTTTAAGATTCCTATAAGTTTCTTTAAACTGTTGATTTAAATCTTCACTGACTTTTATATCTTGGAACATTCTTGCTAACTTATTAACATAATCTGCTGGCATTCCAACTTCTCTTAACCTAAAATTGATTAATAATATTTTATTTAATACAAAAAGAAAATTTTTTATAAGGTTAAAAATCAGGATTTGTAATACTGTATATTACATAAATACATATAAACACTAATGACAAAAATGAAAAAAGTCTACAAATTACAAATTCAATTCTAATTTTTATAATCAGTAAAAATTAGTTATTAATATTAAATAAGATTTAATAAAAGTTATAAAGTATTAAAAGAATATAATGTTTATGATAAGTTTTATAAAAACTAATCTTAGTAAATTAATATTAGAGGAAGATCGAAAATTTCAAAATTATTACATTTGTACACTGAACGTTTAAATGGATCATACATAATTTACTGCCATAAGCAGTACACATTAGGAGAAACTGACTACTTATTTTACACAGAAATTTTTTAAACACAGAGTAATTATTTAATTATACTCACACAGTATCTTTAAAAATATAAAACGTAACATAATTTTTTCTTTACGGAAGACAATACTAACCCACATTCTATAATTTTCAAAAAAAATTGTTTATATCCCTTCTCTTTTCTCTCTTAAAATTTTATCAACTTTTGTTTATTAAATGAAAACATATACAGGGTGTTCAGTAAGTCAGGAAACGGGTTTCTATTGTTCTCATTGTTTGTAACAATGAGAACAATAGAAACCCGTTTCCTGACTTACTGAACACCCTGTATATGTTTAACTAACTTATAAACTAAAAAATGATTTAAGAAAATGACTGGTCGATAACAACTTTTGGACCAGTGCTTTAGAAGATATTCACAATTTTGCACCTAAACAGGAGAAGAAGAGCAGTTGAGAAATAACTAATGATAAAAATATTATGGTTCTTTTACATATTTAGTCTTATGAAAAAATTATGTAATAAGAAAATAACTGATTAATAACAACTTTTAGTCTAACACTTTGGAAGTTATTCGCAAATTAAATTATAGATTGTAGGTGAATCAAGGATGTTGCTATTTTTATAATTTGTTATTTATTTACTGCTCTCCTCTTCCTGTTTAGGTGCAAAATTGCAAAATCTTTTGAAGCACTGGTCCAAAATTTGTTATTGACCAGATATTTTCTTAATTAGATCATTTTCACAATTTATTTTTATATAAATAAGAATTGTTTTATGTTATATTTAGTATATTTAACAATAATTTATGCTTATTCGTATTACATATTTTTGGTTCTTTATTTTTCATTGTTTGATTATGATTTGACAAGTTTTTTCATTTAACATTATAATTATATTACTCATGTTTTTTCTGCTCTAATTAATATTTAAAAAAATAACGCCTTTATACTAATTCTTTGCTATATTTTCAAAATTTAAATAGTAGACAACTATACCATTCAACCATATTTTCTTCTTTTTCTGAATCAGCTGAGGTATCTAATATTAACCTTCGAGTTAAATGTGCTTTGTGAAATCGCATGAAAACATCTTTATTTTGAACATACTTTAACACTAGTAACTATAACAACAAATTAAATAAATCAATTTTTTATACTTATTTTTCTTCAAAACAAAACATACCACATCTTTTAATTTAGTTTCAATTTCATCAGCTGTTAATCTTTTGCTTAGAGGCGTTTTTCTTAACAACATATCACAATAATTTGCTAACAACTCAGGACACTTTGATTCAGGCTGACATTTAACAGTTGAATTCTAAATTTAATACAAGCCAAGTTTGCATATGAGTACAATAAAATAATAGCATTTAAAAATATAATATTAATATTAACTTACCTGTTTTGTTGGGAGTTCTAAACGAAATACTGTGGTATCATTAACCACTTGTTTGTAAGCTTTATCTCTTGCAGTTAGAAATCTTGGATCATCATTAAAAGCTTCTTGTACTAAATTACTAAATTTATGAAAAAGTGAAAGAAGTTGTTCTACATATTTTTCAGAATCCTAAAATTATATTTATACAAATTTATATATGAATAATTCAAAATTATTAAAAGAGTAATGTTAATATTTCACTATGAATTACTTGGGTAATTATGTCAGCTGATGACATCATATCTGCAAGACCAGCACTAACAATATAATCTTCTAAGTCTTTTAACATTTTTAAAATACCATCAGGTACACGATCCATAAGTTTAAATAACAGTTGTAATTCTAAAAAAAAAAAATTTTTTTAAAAAGTACATTTTATTTCATAAATTATAATTAATACTTTCTGTATCATTGCTCTTAATCATATCAGTGCATTCTGCTAAAATAGTATGGCGAAAATTTGAAACCAAAACAACAACACAACAATCAGTTAACTAAAAATAAAAAATCTTTCATATTTTGTTTTCGAAATATATAAAAATCACAATATTTGTTGTGATTAAAATTAAATTATATCTCATTACTACTAATTTGTAGTACAAACATTATTTAAAAAAATGTTTTCTAAAAAATATAAAAACAAACCATTTGAACAGATCCACTACTGGGTTCCAAATATTTTTGAGCCCGTAATTCTTCTTCACGAAGTTTAATATCAGCATATTTCATGTAATTTTGAACACCATTAATTTCTAAATATTCTGGAGCTTTAGCTTTATAAAATGATTCAGTTGTTTCAATGTAAGCTCTTTCAAAATATTCTCGATATATATACAGCTTATCATCAGGATTTGAACAAAGATTAACTAAAAGTATAAAATAAAATTAGATTCACATTTTTACATAAAAAAGATGGTAAATAAAACTAAAATTTAGGATTGTTAAAAAATATACAAAGTCATTTATCAATGACCACTAAATTAATGAAAAAATAATAATTTTAACAATTTTTTTATTAGTTTTTTAGTTATTTAATATTCTTAAATTATCAGTCAAGTAGTATTTTTTATGTTCACCTTATAAGGATATCAACTTTTATTTTTAAAATGGTAACATATATATATATATATTAATTAGCTTATTTATCTAATTAAGAAAATGACAACTTTTGGGCCATTATTTCAGAAGTTTTCAATAATTTAAAATAATGACTGGAGGTGTAGAGTGGATTAATGCTATTTTTACTACTAGACATTTCTTGGCCTCACTCCTTTTCTTGCTTATGTATAAAAATATTCTACCAAAAGTTGTTATCAACCAGTCATTTTTTAAATTAGATCATTACCTAATATGTAAGCTAATTAATTATCTATTTTCCCATTTGTAAAATTAAAGTTGACATCCTTATAAGGTAAATGAGATGTACATAAAAATACTTCATGATTAATGTTGAGAAAAATATGTAACTAAAAGACACCGATAAAAATTTGTTATTAGAATTAATTTTAAATAAATTAAGTGGTCAAAAATAAAAGAATCAAACTGTACACATACCATATGATTCGCGTACACCTATAACTAATTGAGAGTCAAAAGCTTCACCATTCCTTTCTAAATAAACAAGTTTCATTGCTGAATCTTGAAGTCTTTGTTTTATGTCATTAAATATACTTTGATTCCAGCTATCTAACATAAGCTAAAAAAATAATTCAAATCTATTTTAAATTCCATAGCAATAAAATAATGAAATTATAAATATAAAATATATAAATATTATTTCTAATTTTATTACATAATTATGAAATATAAAATATTTTTTGTAGACATTTTTTCTATTTTATTATTACTTCTATATAGTACATTAAAATACAATTGATTTTTTGTCTTTTAAATAATGTTCAAATTTTATTAAAATAATTTTCAGAATAGTTACAGAATAATGTGTCAATATTGTATCTTTTATGAGACACAGTGTGTTATAAATTATTTTACTATATATTCTATAGCTACAGAAGGGCTACATTTAGTAACACACCATTATGTAATTATAACATGGTATTGACAAAAGTAAATAAAATAAAAATTTAAAATGTTGGAACTATGCTTAAGTGTATCTAGAAAATGGACTTGCTACCAAATTTAACTAGATAAAAATATCTCATTTACATTTTTTTTTGAAAATTACATACAATAATCAGATATTATACAATTGTTAATTGGGAACTAAAATGAACGCTTAATAACAAAAATGCTACTTAAAAAATTATTCACATGCTAATGGTAAAAATTTTAATACCACAGTCATTTAAAAAAAAAGAAAGAAGTTACAAGGTATTACCACAAAGATAATTTAAATTCTAGGTTGTAATTTTGTAAGATAAAATAAAAAATCATAATTTTTAAAATTTTAACTACATAATAAATAGAGCATGTTAGTAAATAAAAATAAATGATCAATTTTTACTAAAAAATTATAAATTTAATTTGTTTTATTTTAAAACAACAATACACATATAAAATAATGATATAATATCTTATTCAATTAAGTGTTACTCTAAAAAAACATAAATAATATGTTTACATTAATAACGTAAATTTAGAAACCAGTTTTAACTAAATTTAAATTATTTAAGTTTTTATAAATGTTTTACCTTTCTCACAACAGAGTCCTTATCAGTATTAGGTTTTTTGCTACCAGTAGAAGGCTTTCCAGTTAGTGCATTTTCCAATTGTCTAAATGGTGTTGGAAGATAATTACATTGTGTAAAAAACTTTCTCCATTCTAAAATATATGCTTTAAGTAAAGCTTGGTCTTCTTGATGTGCCATCACCCGCTACAAGTGTATATTTTTAATTCGAAATACTTTTTTACATCAAATATAAATAAATTAATGAATAAACTTAAATATATACCTGCTGAGCTTTTTTTATAAATTCCATTATATCAGTTTTCAAAGCTTGTCTCATTTTTATTGGACCTTGTTCATCCCATAAGCATACAAGATGAACAGCATAAAACAAATCTTGCCATTCATTTTGAGTAACAGGTTCTTGTTGTAAGAGTTTTAAAACAACTGGTCGCATTTCAGGCCATTTTTCTTCAAATCGTACCAAACATTTATCCTATTAAAACATACACGTATACACATATACAAGAATATAATAGAATACCATTTATTTTAATTTAATTTGTTTTGATATTCAGGTAGAATTGAATAGTTATTTCTAACAAGGAAAAAAATAAGTCACTTCATAGGTTTTAACTAATAGAAAAAGTACAAATTAAAATTGAATTTTTTTTAGTTTACATCAAGTATATCCATTATATTTTGAACTCTATATTAAGTCTAATATAAAATTAAAGTAAATAATATAAAAAATTTAATCAGATACCTATTGAGAAACTGCTAATAATACTGTTTATTGTAAATTAAAATATTTCATTTTTTTTTTTCAGAGACATTATTACAGAAGAAATTATTTAACAAATACGTTTTACTTATTTTTAAGTAACTTATAAAATTATTTACCTTTAATATTTGGGACATGACTTATTTTTATTGGTAATCTTGTTTTTGAAAATTAAAGGTTGATTGTAAATAATTTTACAATCGAATAAATATAAATAGTTTAAATAATAATTTACAAAATAAATAATAACAGACTTTTTGTTCAAAATCATTAGATTACAAATTTTAAGATTCACATAATCAAAATTTCACAGTTAACACCTTTTAAAGTGGTGTAGATAATGCTGTTGGTAAGAAAATAAATATCAGTCTTATAATCATAATCTGGTCTCTTAGTAACTTCACTAGCGCTCCAAATAAACATAAATTGAACTTATTATATTAAATATTTTAAATACATAGATATTATTTAATAATTAAGCCATTAACAACAATTAAATAAAATAATTTAAATTATTAAAAAGTTTTAAGAGGAGTAATTTTTTTATAACTTGTGACAGAATTCCATTTAGCAATACACGCCGGATTTAAGAAAGGTATAACACTACCGAGAATTATTCGAAATAAAATAGACGGAAATTTACATATAAGTTACAGGTTAATCTTTTAAACCAAATTTCTCAGAAATTTTGTTTATGCCATCTAATAATAAATTCAGAGATTCGAACCTGTTGGCAAACAGTAGTAAGTTAAAATAATATTTGAAATTGTTCAAAATATTACCAAAAAAACAGATACGACATAGTATAAAAAGTTACCAATAGAGCGCGGTATGTCTTTCAAATAATCAGTCTTTATACTACAAACAGATTTACCACATTAGATATAGTTATGTATTAATGGTAAGTGGTAAATGGTATGTTAAGGAATAGCTGTCACAAGGTTTCTAATCTCTTATCTTACAATCATATTGTAGGCAGCTGGATATAATTGTATGTTATTTCTCTAAAAGTTTTATTATTAAAGTAATTGTTTTCTATTTTATTTCTTAAAAAATTTAAACATAAAAATTTATTATTTATAGAATAAGTTAATAAATCTAAGTCTTAAATAGTAGTTTGATATTTAATTAAATAAATCTAAGTTCCTGTGTTAAATAATTATATAAGTATTTATCTTATCTTTTTTTTTACACTGCGAAGTCAGATTTTACTTTGAAGTAAGTTTTCATTTAAAATGGTTTTGTNAAGTCAGATTTTACTTTGAAGTAAGTTTTCATTTAAAATGGTTTTGTTTTGTTTTGTTTTTTTTTATTTGTTAATCATACATGTGGTTAATTAAACAATTTATTAAATTAGTATTTTTGCTTTTTTTACTATTATCTCAGTATGTGTAGTATATAATCAAAACTAGAATCTAGTGAGATAAAAGTAAACAAATGGGGTAATTGTAAATATATTTTAAAAATAAATTACATAAGTATTTAATTTTAAAATATAGTTATAAACATAACTATAAAATTGAGAATTTGAACTGTCTTATTTAAAGTAAAATCTACTGAATATTCTAGAAAGAATAATGAATTACCAATTTCCTCATTCATTTATGTTTTCTTCACCTAACCCCTCTACAAGTTTTAATGCTTATTTATATAATAGGATATCAAATTTAATGATAATATATATTTTATTAAAATCATCTTTCTAGCACAATCTAGCTTAAACTAGGAGATTTATCCTGAGAGATTTTTTGTTTCTGAATCTAATTATATATTTTGTGATAAAAAAAAAATCATTGGTTATTTTTTTATTTTTAAATTATATTTCTATGAATAGTTTGTCACACTTGTAAGGAAATATAATCTTTGGTCTTTTCTAGTTTTCATACATCATAAATTAACTAATATATTTAATTAGTTAAGTTTTGATAAATAATGGCAAGAAAACGCCGCAGTACTGCAGAAATTAATACCGCTGAGAATGCATCAGTTCCAAAACGACGTTTTACAAGGTTTGTTGTTTATTTTGTTGAAAATAGTAGGTAATTCTTATGGCAATTATATGCCTTTAAATTAAATTAAACTGAATTTTTGTATACATTTGATAATTAATCTAACATAATTAGGTTAATTCTATATATGAAATTTTATATCATTATCAAAATTAGTATTTGTGATCTATAAAAAATATATTTAATAAATGAACAGTTTTTACTTCTGATATTCAAAAAAATGCTTTCAGTTTAAAGTTTGTATATTAATGTTGACTTACAATAATTTTATATAAATATGATTATATTTTTTTAATGATAACAATTGCTAATTTTAATAAAAAGATAATCAATAAGTTGTCCTACAATACTTAAAAAAATATTGACAATATTTAATAAAAAAAAAAAAAAAAAAAAAANAAAAAAAAAAAAAAAAAAAAAAAAAAGTTTTTACTATTCTGTTTTACAGTCAAATTATATATTATGTTAATTAAAATAATTTATTTAGATAATTTTTATTACAGTACACAAAGAACACCTAGCAGACTAGAAGAAATGATGGTGGCTTTTAATCATAAAAAATGTTTAAGTTGGTTTCATAAATATACTAATGATTCAAATGATACCTTAGGTAAATTAAAAAGGAAATTTAATGTTTTAAATTCAATAATTTTTTTTTTATTTGCTTAGGTCCTGAAGGAATGGAAAAATTTTGCTTGGATATTGGAGTTGACCCAGAAGATCTAGTAATGCTTGTATTAGCTTGGAAAATGAATGCAAAATCAATGGGATATTTTTCAAGTTCTGAATGGTTAAAAGGGTTTACAGAATTACAGTATGTTGACCCTTAACTTTTTTATAATGTAAACTACATTATTTAATTTATATAATTAATTTTAGATGTGATTCTATAAAAAAGTTACAAAGTAAATTAGATTCTTTAAGACTTTGCTTTAATGATCCAATGATGTTCAAAAGTATTTATAGATATGCTTATGATTTTGCTAGAGTAAGTTAATATGTTACAATTATTCTTTTTTTTTTTTTATCTAAGTAAAAAAATGAAATTAAGTTTATTTGAGAGTCTATTTTCAATATTAAATACAAAAAATAAACTTGATGAAATAAATAAATTGTATATATTAAATAAAACTTAATATGCTATTAATCTAATAAAATACGTATTTAGACATTCTAGTGGGAATAAAAATATGTTTTTCTTAATTTTATCATATGTATTATTTTTGTTGACTAATCAATCAATTTGTTAGCCACGTTTATTTTGGTGAGATTTGTTTCCTTTGAACGCCTCCCTATAAATACAGCCATGAATTTGGTTGTCATAATATTTCAAATGTGTACTATGTAAAATAGCAGATCACTAAAAATACATAATTATTCTATTAGAAAGTATCACACTTTTAGTGTGGTACTCGCACATAGTGATAAAAATAATTTACTGCAGAGAATATACTCATAATACCACATGAGTTAGTTAAATATTTTATAGATTTCATTACTTAATAATTATGATCAAATGTTGTATGTTTCTTAAAATTACTTGTAAACATTTAACTAGTGCTGTAGATTGATACATCTGAACGATAATAATAGATCTAATAGATATTAAATTAGCCAATTTGATGGTATATTTTTTAAGTTTTTATTTTTCATGGAATACTTTATTATTAATTAACAATAAATTATTGTCATTTCTCTTATTAAATAATTAGGATAAAGATCAAAGAAGTATGGACATAGAAACTGCAAAATTGATGCTAAATTTATTACTTGGCAAACAATGGAAACTTTACTCGTTATTCGCTAAGTTTATAGATCAATCCAAGTATAGAGTTATCAACAAAGATCAATGGTGCAATATTCTAGAATTTTCTAGGTCAATTAGTACAGATTTATCCAATTATGATATAGATGGAGCTTGTAAGTAAACAACTTTCTCTAATTTTTTTTTTTATCAGCATTAAATTAATATTCAACTTATTTATGTAGGGCCTGTAATGTTAGATGAATTTGTAGACTGGTTAAAAAATAATGACAGCTGAAAAAAAATATCTTACATGACACAAACCAGAGATACTTGGTACTGGACCGATGTTACAAATATCTAATTAAATCTATTTAATAAAGTTGATCTCTATAATGCTTTTTATTTTCTCATGGAGATTTTTTTTTTTCAATTCATAGTACACAATAATAAAATTGCTTTAAAAAATATATAACACTAAAATTGTATTTATTTTTTATATATATTTATGAATAATTTATTAAATTCATCATATAATTCAAATAGTATTTCTCTGTCTGTATACATTATTAAAGCCTAAAATTAAATGTGAAATATATTTTAGTATGTATTATAATAAAGTTCAAAATTGTGATCTTAATATAATCACATAATATACCATATTCTAATGTACATAAACTATAAATAGATATTAGTATTAATAAATTTCACAAATTGAATTTTATAATAAATTTCATAATGCTTATTAAAGTATTTAAATGTACAGGTTTTATATTTTCAAAGTGTATTTATTATAATTATACCGAATGAATTTTCAATGTAAAATGTTAATTTAAATTGCAAATATATAATGCTTATCTAATTTAAGCAAATGTAAAATTTACAACTTTAATAACTTGTACAACAAATTTACCTAAACATTAATAAATTATCTATTTTACAGATATTTTTTCTAATAAATATATTGTCTAATAAAAATAAATTAAATAAATTCATCTGAATGTAAGTTACATTATTAATAAATTCTTGAAATATAAAGTGTTGATTATTTTATGACACATGACTTTAAATTAGCAATACGTTTTTGAATATCCTGTAACTAGTAATATACAAAGAAAGAATTTATAAAAATACTTTTTTAATGTATAAATTTATGTGTTTAACTTTCAATAAACATACCATTTGTGTTTCAATTTCAACCTTAGACATCAAAACTCTATCCTTATTGTCATTTTGGCTGTCATATCCAATCATATTTGTATTTATATTAGTCAACAATTGATATATATTAGACATTTCCAAATCGAAATCAAATCTGAATTTTAAATTGTATTTAATTGTAAAAAACAATAACAATTAAATAAAATTTTTTTTTTCATTTATGGATTTAACAATATTTTTAATTATTTAACACTTACTTTTTAGGAAATGTTATTGGTGTATTAGTATTTTTCAAAGTCTCATTTATTTCCTAAAAAATAAAGATTTTTGTCAACTCTATAACTCTACATCAAGTATAGCATTATTGATTTAATAGATAATTTTTTTCATAAAAAAATTTATTTCTTAACAAGAAAATTTTTAACAAATCAAATTGTTATTACAATAACCTTCGCTCTTAATGCATTGCAACAGTCCAAAAATTTTTTGCATATCATTAAAAATAAAAAAAGGTTCATATTGGAAAAAAAAAATATTCAAACAAACCAAAAGGGATATTTTTATACAAATTATAATATAGTACCTTCTTAAAATAAAAAAAGTGTGATTATTATTTAAAAAATAAGTTGCATATTATAAAATGATATTAAAATTATTAAATCTTATATACTATAATTAATTACTTTGTTGTACATTTTTCTGGATATTGTCTTAAGATTCTTTTTATCAAGTCCAAATGGTGCTTCAAGTCCGGTATCTATAAAATATAACTTTATCTAGGTGAGGTAACATCCCCTTAAAGTGTTAACTTATTGGTTAACATTGCCTGAAACATTTGCTTCAGGCAGCTAATTTCTAGGGACACCAAAATTAATTCATCTTACTCCACAAATTAAATGTTACAATAAATTATTATTCTATGAATATTCGATTAATATACAAATTTTAATTATATAAATTCTAACTTTTTATTTCTTGAATCTACTGATAATCAAAAATAAATTGAATATTTTTAGGGAAACTAATAGCATGTACTATTTACGCTTATATAATTTTAATTTTATTGAAAAAGTGGTTATTTTTTTATGTTGAACAAAAATGTAATAAATCAAATAATTATTCAAAAATGAATAACTTCATTATTAATAATGAAATATTTAAAAATAAGCCTCTATAGCATGATACTTTTGAAATGCTGTGCATAATTTTTAAATTTATTTTACTTATCCTAAATATTTAGTTAAATATACATTTTTCAAAATTTAAGTTCTTGTAAAATAAAACAATTATTTGCAATCAACACAAGTACAAATTATTTCGGATGCCTTCTAAAAATTTTAGGACGGTGTAACTACATGACTGTTGGTGCCCCTAATTTTTTTTATGATCACCCTTTAAATAATATTGATGAGCAAAAAAAAATTTTATTAATCTTATAGTATGAATTGTTTGATTATAAAATTATATTCAAATCGAAGTTATTAATTATTTTCATCGAGGTTGTAAATTATATACATTTATTAATTTTGTTTGGCTCTCTGTCTTACTAGGTTCTAAGTTTATGCAACTTTGTTGAAGGATTACATAGTTACATATTTCTCGTTTTAATAGGAGATAAATTTGCCTAATCCCTATAACTATAATCTTGGTAAGAGCACATTACTAGTTTTCAAGATAATTAATAAATAATTAAACTGCCTGATGGTGTGTTCGGATTAAATTAACACAATTTATAGATGCATATAATTCAGAGCTTTGACAATTAACTTTAATGTAAAATTTTATAAAAACTTCTCATTTATGTTGTTAATAATAATATTTCTAATGACCAACTACCACATTAGCGATAAATAAAAATTTAATCGAGCGTACAATATATGTTGACAATATTTTTAGGTTTTAATCACTAATATTAAGATTCAAGCCATTAAATTTTTAGAGGAATATTTTCTCTTAAGCTATCCATTTAATACGACCCTGAAAGTACTCCGGGTCGTCTATACTATCATCGGTTGGGTTTGGTTGGTTGGGTTGGGATGATGTATCAAAAGATACATCATCTATACTAGTGGCCTACGGTAAATTTCATTAAAGGGATGCCGCGATACACAATTTCATAATCTTTTTTCTTGCTCACCACTTAAAAAAATATTTCTTGCTACAAATTAAGTAAGAACATTAGTTGATAATAATATTCTGGTTTCCGACAGAATATATCTACAACCCAAGGTTAAACTATTATTAGTCCTATTTTCTTAATAAATTATTGAAATGTTTACTAAATAAGCACTACAAAAATGTATTTTTTGTGTAACTACATTAAAAAATGTGGTTTATATCTGCATTACGGCTGTGACGTTATAGCTGAGGCATTTTGGGCATTTACCTAGTATAAATGTTTAATACAAATCAGGATTGATCAAGCTAAAACCACACTAGGCTGAGCCATACCGGATCATATAATGTAATCTATGATACAGTAAAAATCCAAATTTTAGTTGTGAAAATAAATAACGTCCCTGTGTCAGGGCATAATTTTTTAATTTATTTTGCAAATTTAACATACGAATGAAATTTCCTAATTCAAAATTAAAGTATAGTACCTCTGAAATAGGCGTGTCATAATGCCCTGTGCCTACCTTAAATACTTTACTATTCAGTACTTAAAATTATACTTACAGTTTTGATATTTTGAATCACTTTCTATTAATTGTAATTGTCTTGCTTTATATCTCCAGCCTTTCAATAATTCTTTGTTTCTTAAAAATATATTCAAAATGAATATTAATTAAGTATCTTACTCTTGTTTCTAATAATTTAAATTAATTAATTTTATAATAAAAAAAAATATTTGAATAAATCCCAACCTTTTGTATAACACTTTTGTTTTTGCTTTTAAAGCAAAAATTTTTAATATTTTGAAAATATAATTAATTTATGCAAGAAGATTAATAACACTAACTATTGAGACGATAATATAGTAATTCCCATTACAAAAGGTCTAAAGTCACAAAAACTAAATATTAAATGACAAAAAAATACTGTTTATCTAAACCACAGAGACTTTTGTCGCGTTTTTGTGTTTTTAACACAATTTTCATTCAAGGGAAGTAAGGCATTTATGTAACGTACTAATGTAAACTTGTTCATTTTGTTTTACTAGACAAAAATTCGTTCAAATTTTCGGAAATTAACTTAAACGTTTGTCATTTATTTTTAATTAAAAGTTTCTATAGTCTACTATTTCAGTTTTAAATAATAAAAAAAACACATGATAGTAAAATTAACATTTTCTCAGCTTTATATCGAAGCTAATAAATACATTGATTAAAAAAAAAATTATTTCTTAACTAGGTAGTGATAATTTTTTAATTTAATAAGATAATAACGTTCTTAATAATATCGTTAACATCACAGCCGCTAAAAATGTATAACACATTTTATTTTATAAAATGTTTTAATTGCATAAATATTATAGTTTTATCATCAATTTTAAATAAAAAGTTCGATATAATAAACTTGAACTAATTTATCAGTAAAATGAATATTTATTTATTAATAATGTACTCAAGATAACAAAAATATATTTTTTAAATGCATAAAGTAACCCTTATTATTACTAATAATGTTTAGACTTCAATGGGTCTTATGCGGTTATAAAAGGTTTATTTTTTAGACTATAGTAATGTAGTACATTATATGTATACATTAATTTGTATTTAATGTATACATGAGATTGGGTCGTTTCTACAGTTCACAGGATCCAGGGCAAAACTCTTTTAGCATGTTCTATAAAAAAAACATTATGCTTTCCGCACGAAGACAATTACATTCTCGTAAGTCAGTAAAATGTCCTATTTCAAAATATTAACAAACGCATTTTTACCTATTACTTTTATCAGTACCTCATCTAACCTATTTATAATTTGTTAAGTACACTATATTATAGTGTATTAAACAAATTATACATGAAATTAAGTATTTCATATTTGATTTTATTTTATTAATAATATGACATTGTCAATAAAAACTCAAACTGTATTTGTAAATATATATATATATATTTATGATCAGTTGCGGCACGTGGCTTGGATGATGGGACGATCGTAATCCCTGTTAAAATTAATTAAAAGAAGAAAATTAATTGTATATTCTTAATTTTATATTTTTATTAAAAATGCTAATTTTTAAATAGTAAAATAGTTACAATATATTTGTCCTGTGCGAACGTAAGAGTTGTTTCTCTCAGTATATGCGGTACGCATACACACACGAGCAATTTGGACGACTGGCAGTATCGTCAATACTGTAAAATATTAGTATACTACTAAATTGGGTAATTTATTTTTAGAATTAACTGCTTGTCGTTATCGGTTGTTATAATAGTATGATCGTTATTATTATTTTTTTTTTTCGAATTTTTACTGCAATCTTTAAAATAATAATATGAGTTTTGTGTTTTGTGTTTTACTTTATTATATTTAATTTGACAATTTTTTATACTTACGACTAGCGGTATTAAATTTAAAGTTGATTTCATATCACCAACACCCACGAACCGCCATTGTAAATCATTATATTTAAAGAAAATTTAAAACTTAGTCAAGAACTATTGTTAACTAGGTTTTTGTACAATTTTCCTATGTTTTTTCTTAATTATTAAAAAAAAATATTTAACCAATGAATGCTGGCAATCTTCATCAATAGAAAAAATTTGGCACTCACTTATTTACGGTTGGAAACAAATATGTTTAACATAACTTGATATCAATATATTTTTTTCTTCCAGTCATAAAAAATGTTTTTATTTAATAATAAAGAAGGCCCTCACATATAATATCTAGTTGCTTCAGTGATAAGTGATATTAATTTTTGCATACTAAAATTTTCCTTTTTTTTTTTAGGGATAATTAACTCTAATAATTTTTTATATTTTGGTAGATTAATATGAATATTAAAGGTAATACGATATGGTAATATTATTTTATAAAAATGTTCACAAAATTTCTAATATACATTTTTAAGTACATTATTGATATATTACTTGAAAGATTGGAGACATCTTTCTTGTTTCTCTAGCAAAGTTTTGCGTTTATCTTTATAGAGTCTTTCAAGTTCCTTCAGTCTCACATCTCTATCAGTAACTAATCGATCACTGCTCCTATAATTTTAAAATTATAGCAATTATATTCATTTGGGTAAATTATAAAACAACATAAACCGCACATTCAATTAAAAACTTAAGGGTATTAAAATTATTTAAGCCGAGGTGACATGCAATTTATACTATAATTTCATAATACAATTGTATTATGTAATATTTTTAAATTACTATATCAGTTTTATCATAAATTAATATCATAACAAAATCAAAATTAGTAATCGGTTTATTAGACTGAAATAAATTTAACTGAAACATCGCAAATAACACTTTTTAAACATTTTGTAGACCTTAAAATAACTGGGAGTACTAAGCATTCCTTGATACCAAAGTAAAACAACTATAAAATTGTTTTAAATGTTAATAACTCAAATAAAGTTTTATGAAAAATACACAATTATTACACATGATCTAATGATTCCATAACACATTGACTACATAGCAAAATTAACTTTATTTTTTAATTTATTTGAAAAAAAAATGTCTATAAAATTGTTTCAAAAATATATCAATTAAATGTTTAAGTGTGTATTCGAGTTAAAAGTCTAATTACATATTGAAGAATTTGATAATTTGTGAAAAACAGTATAAGTGTTGTAAAACTTGGTAAAAATTATGGGAAATAACTACTAAAACATATGAACAGCTGTAGAATATTTTTAAAATACTGTTAAAAACTCTTTCAAAAATGTAGAATGCTTATAAAAATCTAAACAAATCATATTTTTAAAAGAATGCCCAGGTTTAACATTTAGGACAGACTCGATTATAATTATTAAAATTTGGATCTAAAAGACTGGATCTAACTTAGTTTTAACTGAAGTTAAAACTAAAAATAACATTTTAACGCTGGTATCATTATTTTTTATCTCTAATCATTTACTGAACGTACTTTTACCTAAGTATTAAAATGTTAATAACTACTAAAATATTGGTCCAAAAGTTGTTATCGATAAGTCATTTTCTTAATTAGATAATTATTATTATTTATTAGATCAATTAGTTCTTATAGGTAATAGCTTTAGTTTATTATTTAGCAAATTATTTGTGTAAATAGTATTTGAAAATATAAATTTGGGTACAAGGGATGAACATAAAGAGTATTTCATGATTGATAAATTGAGAAAAACATGTAGCTAAAAGACACTAATAGAAAAATTATTTAAATTTTTTTATTAAATAACTCTATATACATATTTTGGAATATTCCGAAAAAATTGTCTAGATGCAGTTTTGTACAGTTTTAAGAAGGAGATTAAATCAATCCAGCATATTTAATACAATTATCTCACCAATTAGTCAAAAATATCATTGGCCAACTGTATCTCTCCATCAACCGAGCTTTATTGAAAATGCCACCTTGTATCTATTGAAAATTAAAAATTTTAATTAAAAAACATTGTTTATAGAACAATTAAAGATAAATGACCTACTTTTTTATTTTGTTTTTTAAACATATAAGGAGCTGATGTTGAAATATCCTTTATTTTAATATTTTCTTCTAGATTATTATTGAATGCACAATATGATTGATTGGTTTCGTTGAACCATTGTTCTTGTAAGTATTTAATTAAATATTTGGAACCTTTTTTTAATATATCTCTACTTGGATATTCTATAGGATTTCCACTAACATTTAATTCTTTGAGTTTACTTATAGATCCTAAAAAATGTATTTATACTATTACATGACCATTTTATTATAAATGTTATTATTTTTTTTTAATGTACTCCTGGATAAAATATCTTCACTTAATGAGTAGTAACCATTGGTCTTCATGATATATGAAATTACGTGAGCAAGTCTCATTAAATTTCATGTTCCGAATTTTTAGTTAACCTGCCACTGATTTTATAATAATACACACAAAAAAACTAAGTAGTACTTTGCAAAATATAGTAATCAGAATCATGCTAAATTTAACGAGTGTTTGAACCATTCCTTAGTATACCGGTTTTGCAACTAAAAGTTTATCTAAATATTGAAATAAAAACTGAAAAGAAACCTTAAATATTTTACATAAAAATATAACTCAACTAACTCCTATTTTATAACTTTTTACCGATAAGATAGAACACTTTACATCTATAATTTAAAAAAATGTATTATATTTAACAGGATTTAACTTTTTAATTTTTTAAGGGAACATTATAAATAAATTTCGACTAGGCATGAATAAAAAAAAATTATAATTAAAATGGACGAAATGTCCGCTTTAATGACTGATTATTAGACGTAATGATAATGTTTCACTTTTTTACTTCCTAAAATTCCTAAAATGAAGTTAATTCTTGTAAAATTTAAAAATTCTCTCTGAAAAAGTTGATAAAAGTGACTTACATACTCTTTACACATTATAAAATATCATTAATACTTCTTGATTAATTCCTCAGTACTTAATTTACGCGAATCATAATCTTTCATAATTTATGATTCGTAACATCACGTCGATACTTTAAAATTCTCTATTGTATTTCACGTTTTTTAAACTATTTTAATTAATGTGTACTATAATCATCAGAATTGTAAATTATATACATTTATAAATTTTGTTTAGGTCACTTTGTCTTACTAGGTTCTAATTTTATGCAACTTTGTTGAAGGATTACATAGTAACACAGAAATATTTTTCGTTTTAAGAGGGATAAACTTCCCTAATCCCTATAACTATAATCTTGGCAAAACATATTACTAGTTTTCAAGTTAATTAATAAACATTTGTACTGCCTGATGGTGTGTTCGGATTAAATTAACAAAATTTATAAATTCACATAATTCAGAATTTTGAAAATTTAGTACCTTTCCAAAACTAATAATATGCCAAAATTAAAATCTATATTAAGAGCTTATTCACCAAAATCTATATATTATTACTGACAGGGTATATTGTTTTCAGGTTATTGATATATATAAGTGTATCGGGACTAAACTCATAAATGCACGATGGCCTGTAGTAAGGTAACTCTCTAAGACGCCTTGGGTCGTGGGTTCTAATCCTCCCTTTCCATTCCACTTTTTTTACACGATTTCCGGTTCACTTTCTATAATCAATTGTCAGTTCCTAGCGGCTGTCTTATTACAAAACTTTTAAATTATAATATAGATTGAAAATTTGTTCAATAATTAGTTCTGGTATTAATGTCCTCAATTATAGCATAAATTAATAAAAAACTTTCTTACCAAGCGTGTTAGGCAACTCTTTTAAATTGTTTTTACCCAACAACAACACTTGCAAACTTTGATGTTGCTCAATGCTTCTGGGTATTTTACGTATTTTGTTACATCTTAAATCTAACCATATAAGATTTGGGAAATTGATAAATAATTCATCAGGTATTACCTTGATATTATTGTTGTTCAAATATAAAAACTGAAAATAAAATCAATTAATTTAAAGAAGAAATTAAATGTTTTAAAATATAGAGGTGTTCCTCCCTGATATATTATTCAAAAATATTTTAAGTATTACAAACTATAATGTGTTAAAATTATTATTTTATACCAATAATTTTTTTTTTTACTTACTTCAACGTTTTCATTGATATTGAAAAGTAAAGATTGTGACAAAAATGTGATATTTTTACTTTTCATATCCACAATTTTTTTTTTATCCATTTTATTAGCGTAATTAAAAAAAAAATTATATATAAAATAGATTTTATAAAAAGTTCATTGGTAAACTAGTGCTAACATGAATATTTTTGTATAAATAATTTGATAAATTAGTATTTTGGTTGTTATAACAACTATACAATATATTACCATTGTTACCTGTATAATATTAATTTGTTTATTTTTTTTGTAAGGGCTTATAATTGTATGCATTAATACATTTTGTTAGAATAATTCTGAAAGTAATTATATCCAAATAAAAATATTTTTAGTTGGATATCTAAACAATAGTTTGTTATTTATTAAAAAACCGGCGTTAACCCATAAATATAAATATATAATATAGTACATCATAATATATTTAAAGCGCAGCATATCAGTAGGTGACTATGTGATGAGAGGAGGGTTTAAGTCTCCTATAGGAATTTTTTTAAATTATTTTATCTAGTTATGAATTTCACACTCGCTATAATTTCTTTAAGATATCATCTTAATCATAAGTTATGAATATATGAACATACGAACATTATTTATTATATTAATGTACAATTATGAGAGGCCGTATTTAGGGGGTAATTTGAATAGTCCTCCATGAATTCTTAAGGGCGAAACTCATTATTAAAGAACAAATCAAATTAAAAACAAATATAAATATTGTCGATCAAAAAATTTTTCTAATAACTATGATATTTTATGTTCTTTACTCTTATTTTAAGATCATTATCATAAGTTAGATTTAAGTTTGGACAAACAAAAATTGACTTGAGATGAATATTATATTATAATATCCTCAATATTACATAAAGAGCAATTCTGAAAAAATTTGGGGTCACCAAAATTTATTTAGCTACCCTACGCCAAAATCTTGAATACGGTCCTGGTTATGATTTCACTAAGAAAAAAAAACTATATAGATTTTATTATAGAAGCTAAGTTGAGACATTATATATAACCAATCAGTGGAGCAATGTGAACTATTTACCCAACTCTTTGATGGAAAAGTGGTGTATGTAGGAGCAGTGTAAGGTCAGTGTTTCTCGAGCTTATATAGCGTAGTGTTGTATTGTATACCTTGGTATACAATATATAGCAACGTATACCTAGGTAGACAATTTATTGCGTATAATTATACCGAGGTACATCTTACATTGTATTAAACGTAGGTTCTAATGGTTTCTCTTTCTATTTGAAAGTAGTAATTGTAGTAAGTGGTGAAAGAAAAAGGCTAATATACAAGGATATGTGTATTGTGATTTGTTGGATTTGTTATTGATTTCGTTGCATTTAATGAGAATTTTTTACATAAAAACGGACTATTGCTTGAGTAAAATAAATGTTGTGTCAGTTTGACGATTTAAAAAAGTTTTCTTGTGACAAATTCCATAAAATGTACCCAATCTAAAAAAACGGACTGGTGTGACATATAAAAATAGAAGTGCATTATTGTCGTGGCCAAATATAGTGTGGATTACAATATTGCTATAGGAAATCATGCTGATCAAGGACTAAGTGTACATGTGGTATTCAGCTAAAATATTAATTAAAGTTAATTAGATACGAATATTAAATATGAACATGAACTTAAGTTATATACGGGTTTTTTTTATAGAAAGTTTTTATAGCGAAAATGTAGCAGAGTTCAAATGGAATTAGTGCTAAACGATTTAATATATGTACATGTTATGACTATATTTCCCATAACCTAATCTAACCAAAGTCACGCGGCTGGAATTTGTTTGCATGCAAAGCTTTATTATGAGATCTTAAAACAAGGTCTAGTACTAATCTGTGGAAAAAGCAAGAAATTTCTCTCACGGATAGTCCCCTCCAGGACTGGTATCTGGACCGAACAGGTAGATAGGTGATTGTTGCGACGAATCGTGGCTTGATAGTTGGGTAACGAACTTATAGTGGTGAAAATTGATGACATAGACATCATGAGCTGTTATGCGATGCTCAACCAAACGATCGCCAATTTGCTCAAAGTGGTTGAGTTGTGTCTGAGGGGTATACACTTCACAAGAATGCATGGAAATTGTCGCCGGAGACTTAAATACTTCAATAAGTCCCTGGTTTGGTGGCGCTTGGCGTAGACCGATCAGAACGGTGAATACCTGTGCACTATGATGGCAACCTTAGTGCTATTAATGGTAAACAAGTCCTCCACCTTGAAATTCGGAGGTCATTCCTCGTGTTTAAGGAAAATAGTAAAAACTGAGTATTTTGTAATTGCATTATTAATTATCATGTACAATTGTAGTTTACTTTGATTTTACCAGCGATTACAAGTACATATCATTTTTAAAATAATTTATGTTTTTAAATATTATAGAATATTTAGATAAAGGTCATTTAAAGAATTTGTTTATTTTTATTTAAATAATATAATTTTGAAAATTTCGTTTTTTTTTTAATAAAAATAGAAGAAAATTATGTAAATGTAAAGTTATTATCAATTAATTAGATTAATATAAATTTTAAAAATAGAAGATTTATTTCTTTCACTTGACCCATGACACACATTTTTCTAAACTTATTTATGTGATTTTAATATGATATTTAAGATAAAAGACATGTGACAATGAAAAAAATTATTATTTGTTCTTTGCTGAAAAATGTATAATTTTTGAATTCTAAATTAAACATGTACCAACACTGAATTTGCGTTTAAGAAAGAAATAAATCATATATTAGAATAACCTATATTGAATTTATAATTCTTAGAAGTATAAATGCAATGATACCAAAATGTTTATATTGAAAAAATGATGTTAACATATAACTAAAATATTTATTAATAATTATTGTTAAATCAGTAGGGACATATTCAAAAGCATTTTATTCTACTTCATTTTTTCCCAAGAGATTTACTATCATGTCGTTTAATAATTAGTTAATTATATCATAGGACTTAATAAGAACATGATTTATTATGTTTCATATTATATTATTATTATATTTATATTATTTCATATGGTCAAATTTTTTTTTCCATAATAAAGTACATTACATACATACAAATCTTTAATATAAGATACATAAAAAAGTGTCAGACCTTCCGGAACACTTTAAAAAGTTAAGTTGAAAAAGTAAATTTTTTGTGAAAAAGTTGTCATTTTAAATCCCCCCCTGGGGGCAGGTTAAGTGTCAGATTTACAAAAATTATATACTAAATGATAGGTAAAGACATCAAGCATCTATAGAAAAAAAAATTTAGTGATCCATACATTTTAAATATGATAAATTCATTTGATAAATCACAAGCACTTTTTAAATTGACTTCAAATAGGAGAAGGTGGAGTCATACATTTTCTGAAAGTAAAACATAAATTATATCTTCAATGATTTATTGTTGATGTTGTTTTAAAAATATTAAAAGTAAATTAAATACTTTATAATGTAGAATATCCAAAAATACAAAAAGTTCAAGATGACATTGAATTAGTTGGAAATGCTGAAATGGATATAGATGAAACTGTTCATCAATTAAATAATTTTAAAAAAAATCTTGATGGTATTGTATTTTGCTAATTATTACTATGAATTAAATTATATTACTTATTATATTTTTATAGTAAATATAAATATTGAAACATTTCTAAAAAATAGAATTGAAGAAAAACAATTATTAAGTTAAAAATATAAAAGAAAATTATTTTACAAAAATCGTAATTTTTTATTAACTTTGATGTCTAATTTCACCACGAAGACAAGTCCAGAGGTCAAATTTTTTTTTTTCATAATAAAGTACATTACATTAGTTTTAATTTAAGATATATATAAAAGTGTCAGACCTTCCGGAACATTTTCAAAAGTTAAGTTGAAAAAGTTAATTTTTTGTAAAAAAGTTGTCATTTTAAATTCCACCCTGTGGGCAGATAAAGGGTCAGATTTACAAAAAAAAAACTAAATGATAAGTAAAAACATCAAGTATCTATAAAAAAAGAAGTTATATTGATATGTTCATTTTTGAAAAAGTTACGGCAGTTTTTAGTAAAAAAAATTTCGAAAATTAGCGATTTTTAAATTTGTAATTTTTTTGGAGGTTTCCCCCATTTACGGGGAACGAGGGTAATTTTTTCAATTTTTAAGGGTAATGTCTTCAACTATATACGATTTGTGATCTTTGACGTATCGTTGAAAGAAATCCGTTCGGTGTGAACTGAGTAAAACTGAGTGTCTGTGGTAACAGACACAATAAAAAAATAAAAAAAAAAACACATCATAGTAAAACCAATACCTTCACAGCTTCGCATCGAAGCTAAAAAAGATAGAATATTTATAACAACGCACAGCACTTGTCATCGCACAACAATAATTCCCACTCTTTTTCAAATCACCTGCGCAACGCGTTAAGAAAAATGAAAAATTTGATTAAAGTATATACACTAATCACAATTGGATCATGCAGTTTTCAATTGGTTTATACTAAGATATAATAATAATATAATGAATTTATAAAATGTATTATAAATTTCATTAATCATGAAATTAAAATTTATAAATATTTTACTTAATATTATATACGTATAAAATTAAACTATCCGAATGTGTTTTAGTAGATTAACATGGTCTCAATGTCTGTTAAGGGTAGAAGGGTTATAATTATTACTCTTCTCTCTTAATAATTACTAATAAAAATTGTTTTGTAACAAATTTTCATTTGATTTTTAGCTTCCAATTATAAAATATTAGTTTTTTCAAGGCTTCATTTATTATACTTTTACAAATTCATTTTCCTTTAAAAAAAATTACATTTCATAATTTTTAAACATGCTAACAAATAGTCCTGTATTACAACTTAGTCATAATTGTGAATATTATAACTGAAAGTATATACGTCATTGTTAATATCACTACTCGTTATCTGTTATCATTAATTAAAATGGCGAAGAGTCATCTGTGAAGTTTCATCTTAACCAAATGGTTCTATTTGTGAAATTGAATTTAACAAAGTTTTTATTTTCATAACATTAGATTTCAAGATTTAAAAATTCTGATTCTACTCGAAATCATTTTATTATGCATAAAACTGTTGGTAGGCGTTATATTTAGATTTTTAGTATTTTTTTCTCGCAAAACAATTTGTTTTAATTAATACTGGCTAATTTTTAATGTGTATTTTTATTTAATTGTGCTGCTTAATGTGGTTAGAACAATCATCAACTATGGCATACGGAAATCAATGGATGAATCCTGCTCTTTATCAAAATATGAATAATGAACAAGGTAATTGTTTTAAACATTTAATATTTTACTTAAAATATATATACGTTTTTTTCTTCAATTCAGTGGACTGGGCAAGTTTAGCTCAACAATGGATTAAAATGAAAGAAACTACTCCTCAAATTATACAACCAGGACAAAATGTTAGATCAGTACCCTGTGAAACAACTACTGATGTAATTGGTCAACAGTCAAACCCTAGTCACAATCCTTTAAATATTCAAGGTTCTAGTAAACCAGTTTGTAATCCAAATGTTGGTTAGTATTGATACTTAACTTAAATTGAAAATAATGCTAAAGTAATTGAAAGCTTATTAATTCCTATGTTCAAGATATTCAGAGTGTCTCACAATATTCTGATAAATCCACATACTTTTCTTATGGCAAAATTGTCAGAATATTGTAGGACATCATGTACAGTGTGATCAGTTTATCATAAACCACTCAATTACTCACAAAATAAATACAATATTGAAATATTATTTGGTTTATCAGTTATTAATTATTTTTAAAATCTTCCATATAACTTATAGGGTTATCAAGTTTATATTTATTAATGTCAATATAGATATTTAAGTAACTTATAAAATAAAAAATGACTCATCGATACTAACTTTTGAACCAATATTTTAGTAGTTATTAACATTTTAATGTAATGTTTAAATTTGAGAGATGGGTGTTGTTATTTTTATCACTTCCCAGTCATACTCTTACTCCCACTTATGTATAAAAATGTCAATATACTACCACAATACTGGTACGAAAATTATTATCAACCAGTTATTTTCTATTTTATAAGGTAGTTAAATATGTTTATAACATTTAAAAAAATAAAGTTGAGACCTTTATAAGGTATAAATGATGAGTTAAAGAAATTATTACAATTGATAAATTGAAGGATATATGAAAGTAAAAAGATCAAAAATGATTTTTTAACATAATTATTATTTAAGAGAAATTCTTTGGATAAGAGTGGCTATCATTCAGTGTTTTGTTACCTCAATTTATCAAAAGCCATTAGTAGTTAGAACATTATTTTTAGAAAGGGCAGTTCCATTCTTTTTGATATACATATTAAATTGATTTTGAAAGTTATGAACATTTTTTCTGAAAATATGTATAACTAACAATATCCCCTCCTCCCTCCTTAATCGCCAAAAAAATTACAAATTTAAAAATTGTTAATTTTCGACATTTTTTAAAATTATTTTACTTTAAACTGCCATAACCCTTTGAAATATCTATGGATCAATATAAATTTTTATATAAATACATGAGGTATTTACCTATCATTTTTTTTTTTTTTTTATATATATATAAATTGACCCTTAAGCTGTCCAAACGGGGCGATTCAAAATAACAACTTTTTCACAAAAAATTAACTTTTGAAAGTGTTGAAATACTGACATTTTTATATATACCTTAAATTAAAGCTTATGTAGTATACTTTATTATGGAAAAAAAATTTTTTGATTTTAGTTTATTTTCATGGAGAAAACTAACATCAAACTTAATAAAAAAATAAGATTTTTGTAAAAAAATTATTTTTTATATTTTTAATTTTATAATACTATATGTTTTTGAAAAATATATGGATCAATACAATTTTTTTTATGATAAATACTATTTATATACATCTTTCATTCGGCCTACTTTTTTTTTGAATAATACCATTTCCTTTTATATAATTATATATATTATAAATATATTTATAATATATATAAAATAGGAGATCATGTAGCTTTTGGAATAATCCACCAATTTTTTAAAATTAAACACTATCTACATATTTGCATCGAAGGCTTTTTTATGATAGTGATTTTAATCACTCTCAGATATCATTATACATGACCCAACTGTGCCTCGTATTCATTGTGCTGGGGTTTTTTTTTTTTAAATTGTTTCTTAGAACTAATATTTTTATTTATGAAGTAGAATTTAGTTTTTTAATTAGTTACTATAGTTATGTAATGTAACATTAAAAATATAATCAAAATAATTGCTAGTTTTATTAATTGATAATTTGATTCATTCAATCACAAAACCTCTTTTTTTAAGAATCAAAAATAATTAATTAATTTTTTTTTACACATTTGATAATTGAGCTGTAAAGAAATAATTGCAAAGGCCTAGTTGGAAAATCTTTTATATCTTTGTAACAACCTGACCAACTAGTATTACCACTAGATTGTTTACCATTCGTCCATTTTAACAATTATTAACACATGTGATATTTTTATATTTGTAGCCATGTTTTGTTATTTTATCATGCTATTGTTGGTCAATAAGCAAACAAAAATTTGACTTGTACTTCCCCTATTATGAATTTATAAACATGTTCGTAATCCAACTTATTAAATTATGTTAAGAGATAGACTTAAAGACAAAAAATAAAACTACATTGAAATATTTAATATTTTCTTTTAAAATATCAAATTATTTTAGGTAATAATATTGACAAACCAAGTGCTTGGAATACATGGACTTGGCAACAACAACAGCAATGGAATTGGAATTGGGCTCCTCCTAATATTGCACCTATTCCTATTAAAGCACCTAGAGTTGAACCTGTAATGCCAATTAGACCTCCATATTCTTCACCAGTAATGGCAGTAGAGCCTGAATCTTTTACTATAAATACCCCAAACAGACATTTTAGTACAAATGTGAGTAATTGTAAATTTTAATTAAGCAATTAAAATATTTTATTTTATTTTTAAATTTTATAAAAAATTAACTAGTATCAATAAATATAAAAAAATAATTTTCTATATTGATATATTACAACTATACTTTAAAAATATATACATGTCTCAGTTTTATATTTTTAATAAAAATGTTTAAAGAGTTATTGGCCAGGTTCTAATCCAAAAATTGCTCATCCAACTGAGACAGATCAATGGACCAAGTCAAACTTAGTCTCAAGTGCAGATGATAAAATTCAAGATCCAGCATTTATTGGTAATTATAATTCTATGAAAATTAAAAAATTAAAATGAATTCTATTGAATATTAAAAAATGGCTCTAAATTAAAATATCTAGTTTTTACTATACAGTAGACTTAAATTTATTATTCATTTTTCTTTTTCTAATAACCAAATAATTAATTCTATTAGACAGCATCTCCCACTTTTTAAGTAGTCATTATTAAAACAATAAAAAAATATTTATACAATAACAAAGAATTTATAGAGCCTATCAATTTTAAATTATTGAGGTAAACTTTACTAAAAACCAATAAAATATAAATGCGTTTATTAGAAATGTTTGTTCTTCAATTATAATTTATACCTCTTATTTATTTATTATTCAATAAACTGTGTAATATTTGATAGATTAAATTTGACTTAAGTTGAGGTTTTACTCAATGTAAGTAAATGCATTATAAATTAATTGTTACACATTTTAGATGCAATTAAACGTAAACAATTGCCAGCTTGGATTCGAGAAGGACTTGAAAAAATGGAAAGAGAGAAACGACGTAAAATGGAACAAGAACTATCAAATGATTTAGTCGGACCCAACATTAATATTGAAAATACATCAGATGGAATACCTAATGTACTAATAAAATTTATTTTTAAAAATTGTGATATTAAATTAATAAATATTAAAATTATTGTAGTCTCCAAATACTTTTAAAAATGATCCTGAAATAGTAGAAGAAGATATTGATCATGATTCCATAGAAAATAATATTGAAGATGATTTGAGAAAAAATGAATTACCAAAAAATGAGTCTTCATCTTTTATCCCACATAAAAGTAAAGCCCAAATATGGGAAGACACGGTACTAAAATTAATGATATTTCTACACGCTAAATATTAGTTTTTGTTGTTTAAATTTTATTGAAAATTTTTTTTTGTCAATTTTTTTTTTCTTTTTAGATGTTAAGTCTTCGGCAAATTTTGACTAAGTTATTGATGGATGTAACTAATGATATGATGTTAAGTGTTGTAAAAGAAGTTTTAAAAACCACTTCTTATACAGGTAAAATGAATAGTAATCTGTTTCTTTTTTTTTTTTTTTTCATAAGAAGATAAATGTAAGTAAAATTGTTTAATATTGATATTTAGAGGTTAAAAACCTATGTATATTCAACATTTCTTCTTTTTTTTATAATTTAAATTTTACTTTACTGTCAATTTTACCATATGCCATGTAACAGATACTCACGGAAATCAAAACCAAACATCGTTAGCTGGTAAGCTGGGTAAGTTTCTATTTAATTTGTTAAAAAATATTCTGATTATTGTAAAATATATTTTTAATTTGTTCTTGAAAACAAATACAGATATATTCATATCTTTTAATAAATTATTAATGGAGTTATTTTATTTATGCTACATATTTATGTACTTTTAATTGTTCTTTATAAATATAAATTTTTATTTTCCTATTTATCATTACTAGATTTAAGTTATTGTACAAACATTTGTAACTAAAATTTTAATCTATTAAATTTTAATTAACATCTCCAATAAAGTAAATATAATGAGTGCATCTGGAAATTATCCAAGGGGAAAAGACAATTACTGAAAAATAATGTGTATGATGGTGTTATTTTTAAAATCATAAGTTTAAATCATAACTATGTTCCACAATTAAAAGTTAAATTCAGGATTAACTAAAATAAGTAGTTTATTTAATACCACTGATTAGATAATTATTTATTGGTGTGTAGTTGAATAGAAAATATTTTTTTTTTTTTGTTATATTTTTAATACCAATTTGTTTCTAATAAAATACAAATTGAAAAAAAATGTTTTCTATATTTAAGTTGGAAAATTAGCCCTCTTCTTCTTTTTTCTTGCATTAATTCCAACTACTTGAGCCGCCCACTCTTATCCTAAACTTTCACGTAATCAATAATATCTCTCTATCTTTTTTTGATCTTCCTCTACCTCTTCTTCCTTCAACATTTATTTCTATATGATGGCTAAGTTAAAAAATGATTATTATTATTATTATTTTAATAATTCATTAAAAGTCGAGAATCATTGGATATCTTTAATATAAATTATACATTTAATAAACTAAAATGATATTTTGCTTTATTTAAAGAAATCTTTAAATTTTTTACTATACATTTTACGGGAAAAAATTAAATGTAATGTAAATTTTAAATTTATAAATTTTGTATTATCAATAAATATTTCAACCAATTATATCTTATTATATCTATTAATTAATGGTTAAACTCTATGAATCATTCCATGAGTTATGAATTAATAATTTCTAGTTTATTAAATTGAAAAATCCTCAGTAATCCAGTCATTATCTGTATTTTATGAGAATGTACTTATTTTATAGGCTTAGGAGTTTATGGATCAGCCTCTGAATCTTCTGAAGAAAGTGATGATGGAAATTATTTGACGGGACATAATATATCTCATAAAAAATATTCTGATGAAATTTTACGAGTAAGTTTACTTCAAAAAATTTTATACTTAATATTTGTTATAAATTTTATTTTCCTTTTATTAACTTAATTAATTTTAGGCTACTGAATCATTCATTACAGTTACAAATTTATTAAAAATTAATATTGAATTTTCTTCAATAGTAATTTTTTAATCAATGAATTTACAAAGTTTTTGTATATATTCAAGCTATGATGATTTCTAACAAATTAGTACATTTTTATACTATTCAGTAAGAGGTTATTTAAAGTTGAACATGCCCTTTTAAACTAAAAAATATAAACATTTTTATTTACTGTTTAAAGGTAGTTTTTTCTATAATTTATAATATTACAAAAATTATTACTAAGAAATAGGTTATCAATTGTTTGACACAAAAATAATCTAATTTAAACATTAATTTGATTAAAAAATGGGAAGAAATATTGTTTATTATATGATTTTAATTAACAAAAGAAATATATTTTGTGAAACACATAGATATTAGTGTCATCTAAAAATAATTATTTCCTACCATTTTATAAGATATATTTTTTTGCTGGTATTAAACAAAGATGCTATGTAAAATTAAAATCAAACATTTTTTCATCTTTATTTTTTTTAGTAAATATATAATAAAAGGAATAGATTTTTTTTGTTGAGATAATTATTTCTTAATTTATACTGGAATTTTATATGCCAATAATAAAAATTGATGTTTAAGTAATTTATGTATAATTACTTTAAAAAATAATGTGTGTTATCAAAAAATTTATATTACAATTCAATAATGTTCTTTAAATTATAGGAGAGATTACTAAAACGTCAACGTGAATTTAGTAATATAGAAGCTCGAATATTAATGGAATTAGATAAACTTGAAGATCGTGAAAAACTTGTGAGGTCTAAATTTGATAATACTGTTAAATTTAGTGGCAGTGTTAATGATACTGTTAGTAAGGTAGTCGAAAACATTCAGTCACAAGGTAATATTATTACTGGTCATTAAAAAACCATAAAAGTATAAAAAAAATGTATTTTTACAAGTTTGTTGCGACTAAATTTTTATACTTAAGTGTTATTATTATTACAAAATGATTGCCTAGTTATATTCATTACTAATTTTTCTTGTTTACAAATAGGAATAATGATAGTCGATTGATGTTAAGTATTATTAATCATGAATCAATTATTTTAGGTCAATCTGATAATGAAGAAGAAAATCAAAAGCTAAAAATAACTGAAGTAAAACCAAAAACAGAGAAGTCAAGTTATAACAGTATAAAAAATGGAAATAAGAAAAAAAAATCAAAATCCAAAAGATCAAGTTCAAGTGAATCTAGTAGTAGTAGTAGTGAAAGCAGTAAAAGTGATGATTCTGATAGTAAATATAGTAAGAAAATTGATAAATATAGATCAAAAGCATCAAATAAAAAAAGTAGATCAGATATTAGAAAAAAATCACGCTCTAGAAGTGGAAGTAGATCTTATGTACGGTCAAAACGTAGTAGGTCACATTCAAGGAATAGAAGTAATTCACGATCAAAGCGTAATGATAGAAAATCTTCACATAATTATAGATCAAGGAGAAGTCGGTCACCAGTATCAAGGCATAAGAAACATAAAAATAAACGTAATAGTTCATCTTCTTCAAATGAGTCGAGAAGTACTAAACATCGATATAGGCGATAAAATAAAATTAAAATTTCTGTTCCTAAAATTAAAAAATGTTTAACCTAAAATTCTGTATAATATTTTTTATAACTTAATTAATTTTTGTATTAATGAATTTTCGAAAGAAATAATACATTTTTTAAACATAATTTTAATTAAATTATGAATTTTAGGATTTTTTTAGGGGGGTTGACATTGACAAAAGTAAATAAATTTCGAATTTATGCTACAAAAATAATTTTTTTCCAATTATTGATTAAATTTTATGTTAATCATTGGACAAAATATATAAATTTCAAGATTTTTTTTTTCATACTACTGTTGTTTACATAATACAGACAGCATCATAAGCATAAATTTTTAATATTAATTAGGTCGATAAATAAAATAGGCATCAAATGCACTGAAATGTATTTTGAAATTAGAAGTTTGAAGGTTACTTGTTAATTTATCGAGATCGGTTAGTTTAGAAGAAATTATTTATAATTTTATTATAAATGTAGAATAAAAACTTAATTTAATAAAAACAACATTCTTTATTAATGTAAAAAATGTTATTATACTTATTTAAAATCATTACCACTAGTTACTTATTGACATTTTGTAAAATGAATTTTTATTACATAAAATATCTAAAAAAACAGTTTCAGTCAATCTAGTTATTTAGTTTTTTTAAACAATTTAAACAATAAAAGAATGTTTTATTTTTATCTTGTTTGTTTTTGTAGTGTTGTACAACAATATAAATAAATTAACATCTTCTTATGTTTCTTCTCATTTAATTAAATTTTTATACTTCAATTAGAATAAGTTTTTTAGTTCAATTAAATAACTTTCATATTGAAAATACATTTCTTTCGAAATAATAATATTTTATATATTATAATATTAAGAATTTGAGACCAACTTTAGTATTCAATTAGTGATAACCTAGATAGAACCTACAAATTCATTCAAGTATTTTAGCTTCAATGCGAAACTGAGAAGGTATTAATTTTACTATGATGAAGTTAATTTTTAAAAATGTTCGTAAAATACTGTATACTTTAAGTAAAAAAAAATTATCTCTACACATCATCTTTCGTATGTAAATGCCTGCAATTGTTAAAAAACAAAAATTTTCGATTTTATATTTTATATTTTTAACTTTATAATGCTATAACTTTTTGAAAAATGTATGGATCATTGCAATTTTTTTATGATAAATACTATTTATACATATCTTTTATGCGACATACTTTTTTTAAATCAGACCATTTCCCTTTATGCAGGGGTAGTTCAAAACTTAAAAATGCATATAGAAAGTAGAACTTTTTCAATTAATTTTTTATTAAAATATATTTATTGATTATTCATACGTCACCTAATAAACATAAATATTTGTTATATTAATTAGAAGGATTTTGTTATTATTTAGACTATATGCGAAACTCTAATTGCAGATTTGAAATTGGCGCAAAAATGGGTTTAGAAAAGTATATTTTCTTGGTATCGGATAAAAATTCCTCGTAGATCAGTAAATTTAGTTATAAATAACAAACAATTTTTTTTTTTTAAAGTATTGCATCAAGACCTTCAACTTTTATTTATTCAACGTTTGCCATATAAGTAATAACTACTTTTATTGTATACTCATCGGTCGAATGTGCTGTCAAGAAATTGTGTGTTGTGATTATTTATGCCATCGTTGTGCTACACCGAGTTGTTGTCGGTCTTCTCTCTATGTCTGCATAGTCGCCACCATATTAACACATTTTTTTAGCTATAAGCTCTATGGCATTTGCGAGCCAGTAGTTTTGTATTCGTTTTGTTATAAAAGTAAAATATTACCTTTGCGATTGCGGCACCCTTGTGCGCTCAGTATATCACCGTTGTGTCTATATATTTTCTGAGATACATCACAGTACCATTCACAGCATATTGTACACGTTGGTCAGCTACTTGCATTCAACTTCAATTGATCCTTTCAATATTCAACATTATCATTAGCTGATAAGTATAATGCTTGTTCATTTTCTTTTTAAGTCTTCCTCACATTTATAATTTATTATTTGTGTATGTCAGCGCCATTGTGGCATTAGTATTAAGTTTCCCCTATCCACATTAACGTATAACTCAATGAACAAATACTTTAAATATACCAATACGTATATATTTATAAATTTTGATAAGGAAATATTGATTGAGTACACAGTTTAATTATTATATTGGGGCCTATTAATAAATGGAACGCCATCAAATACTATATTTAAAGTGCTTGTCTAGTACGACAGAGGTTCAATTTTGGTAATATTTATATGGCAATATGAAATTTATATGATAAAAAAACGCTGTTATTTTTATTTTATTAAAAGCATAATGTATATTTTTCATTCATTTGACATAGCCAGTATCTAGAAAAATTTATTGAGAACATTTCACATCTATTAAGAAGTAATTGTATAATATTTAAAAAAAAGTGATAAAACGACTAAACGAAAATAATTGTGGTTATCACATATTATTTAATTATATTAAGTCATTAACGGTAGGGCGGTCTAATGATGTATTTTTATAAACAGGGAATCCCGCCATATTCTGATATCTTTAATAAATTTGATCCAGCAAATATATTACGTTATTATTATATTTTATTATTTTTACAGTTTAAAAAATTTAATTTTTTCAAAATTTTTTAAAATTTTGGAATAATTATTTTTAATATTTTTAGAAAAATTAGATGAGTCGATAAGTACTTTATGATGAATACTTATTGAGCTACAAGTAATATAATACATAAAATAGGAATATAGAGTATGAATTATAAACATACACCAGTATGAACTGTACCCAACCACACATTTTATATTTTTTGTAATATTGTATAAAATTAATTTATGAACAATAAAAAACAAATGCTTTGCCCTAAAACTAAAATCTGCAATTAATATGGTACAGTCTTTAGGGAAAGCATACCTATACCACTCTCCTGAATTCGTCATCATTGAGATTGATATAATTAGAAAATTGCCTTATATTTTTATGAACTTTTCATCAAATAATTTTTGTACACTTTTTTAAAAATTGTCCATAAAACAAAATCCTTAAGAAAAATTTGAAATTATTCCAAAATAAATCATCTTGATCTTTTAATTTACATGGAACTATTTAACATTGATGCCTTGGTTTTTATAATATCAACAACTTTATAGTTCTATTTTATAGCTGGTGATATTTTTAGTGCAAAATTTTTTTTTTTAAATATTATTAACTTATAAAGTTTTAATTTGTTTAATTATATTTAAAATAATTCATTTTCAGAGATTATCAAATCATTTTTTCAATTTCGTAATATTTACCACATTTTTAACAAATAGGGCCGAAACCATGTTTTCCATTCATTAATATATAATACTTGGACCCCATGAAACTAAAAAAAAAAAAGTTCATTAATCTAAAGTACCTATGACATTTTATACTTTAAAAGATCTCAAAACTAATTGTTAAAGAAGAACAATCTAGTATATAGAAAATAGTTTTGATTACATAGCTTTATCTTAAACAAACTAAGAAAAATAATTTTTTTTTTAATTACATAATAAAAAAGCAAAAAATTATTTCTAAATACAAATTAAGGCAACTAAGAAAATATTATTAATTTTATCGATTATTTAATATGTTTAGAATTGTTCTTGATGATACTACATAATTATTATTGCTAAGATTTGAACGTACGGTACATCTATAAGTATTATTATTTAGTTTACGAATATTTTTTTGATGTGCATTTGATAACTTGAAATCTAAATAAAAATAAATTGATAATTTTTGAACAAACAAATTAATACTGTCTTTGATATCTAATATGGTACGTTTAACTGTCAAAGGTGGATGTTTCATAAAACACATCTCCATCTACGTAATTTTACCAGCTTTCACAGTAACTGATACTCTCCAATCTAGTAAATTAATTACATAATTCTCTCCCCCGTTCACATTATCTTCAATAGTACTACAAATTCCTCTATAGCACCAACGATCTCCTAAAATTAAAGTAATAAAAATATTACCAGATAAATAATGACAATTTTGCTCTAATATGTAATGTTTTTATAATAAAGACATAGTTTGATTATTCAGAGTTATGAACCACTTACATAAAAAATAAAATATATTAAATAATTATTAATATCAACTTATATTAGAAGTTATAATTATATTATAACTACCATAAAACTATAAAACGCTTTGAATTGTACTTATCATTATACATTTTTATAAATAAAATTATTGATTACCATATTTAGTTGCACAAAGTTTATTTTTTCGTGATTTGTAATTGCAATTTTGAATATCAGTCTGTCTATAATATTTAGTCATTTTATTTTCCATAGACGTTGTGATATGTTTATCTACAACTTTTGTCATGCAAAAATAATCTTTTCGGGAGTACAGTACTCTCATGTTATAATTATAATTATTCGCCAATTTCATTTGAGACATATTTTCTAACGTATATAATTTTGGTCTGTTATCGAATTGAGTTTCATGATATCCATTCACAATACCATCTTGCTATAAAGCAAAAAAAATGTGTTAATATACATTATTTATGGTTACTCCAATTATCTTGAACGTCTTCTCTGAAAAGCTTTGCTTGTGTTAGCAGTTAATAAGAATGTATAATTAAAATTTAAGTATTTAGTATAAGTTAAAAAAAACCCAGCACAGTGGAGTCGCGGCATAGTGGGGACGTTGCATAGTTGGGTCCAGTATAGATTTAATCTGACAGTGATTAAAATCACTATCATAAGAAACGCTTCGATGCAAATCAGTAGATAGTGTTTAATTCTAAGAAATTGGTGGATAATTACAAAAGCTACATTATCTGCTAGTTTCTTATTAATACCCTGATTAAGATAAAGTATGTCGAATGAAAAAGGGATTATTAAAAAATATTATTTCTCATAAAAAAATTGTGTTGATTCGTACACTTTTCAATGAGTTATAGCATTATAAAGTTAAAAATGTAACCAACCCAACCCAACATCAACTCCTATTTCCTTAATTATATCCAGATTAGTAATTATTTTAATTATATATTATATAATTTTTATAATTAATTATTTTCAAATTATTATTGATTTTTAATATGTTAAAAGTAATCATTTTGAACCTACTTCTTTTTGTTCTTTAAAGTGAAAGTTTTAATAAAAAAAAAATGAATTTATTACCATAACTTTTAACTCAACTTGCAAGTTTGAAATAAATATTATTAAATAGAAAAAAATGAAATTGGTAGATTATTTCAAAAACAACAATAACACTTATTCCCTTAATTTTACCCCGATTTATAACTATAATATATGAATACATAATAATTACAGTAATTAAATTGAGTATGAAAGTGGTATTCAATAATATAATATTGTAATTTTTACGGAGATATTATAAAAATAAAAAGGAGTTGTATATTCATATACTTTTAATGCGTATACAAATTTAAAGGAATTTATGCAATACTTTTTAATAAAAAAATTTTGTTACTTATGAATAAATACACTAAACAAAAGGAACTTTCATCAGAAAAAAAATATACTTTTCTAAATAAACTTTTCGTGATGTTTTCAAATGTGCAATTAAACTTTTTCTATTACTTCTAAGTTTTAATATTATTACTTATTATTAAAAAATAAGTATTTACATATAAAAAAAAATAATTAAGAACAAAAAAAATTGTATTAAATTAATACTGATTTTGATTTTTAATATGTTAAAGGTAATCATTTTGAACCTATTTTTTATTGTCTTTTAAAGTGAAAGTTTTAATGAAAAATACCTTCTCAGCTTCGCATCGAAGCTAAAAAATGAATTTGTTACCATAACTTATAGTTCAACTTGCAAGTTTGAAATTGACATTATTAAATTGAAAAAAATGAAATTTTTAAGATTAATATGCAATCTGGAAATTTTATAATTACTAATTACAGTACATTTGTCAGAAAAATTCGATTTTTTTACATTTTTATCGTAATAGATAACTGAAATAGAAAGAATAGTAATCATATCCTAATAACTTTTGGTGTTTAAAAAAATTCTGCAATTGAAATATTCAGAACTTAATTAATTTTAATAATTTACTTTAATTAAATGAACCAATCAAACCAAAGTAGTTAAAAAGATTTACTCAATTGAGCATATTATCAAAAATATAATTATAATTGTAAAACTCCATCGTTAACTTCAGGTGAAACTAAAAATCATTTTTTTTTTAAATTTATGATTTATATAGCAAAATATTACTAAAAAATTTGGCATATTATAGACTGGTAGTAGCACACAGAAATAGAGTTAAAAAATTAATAAATTATAAAGTAAAATTATTTACTTTTGTAGTTGAATACTTTTATCATATCAAATTTAATTCGACAATAAATAATTTAAGAATATTAAAAATTAATGATTTTAATTGTTTGTATGGACAAATCTAGTTAAGCTACTTTTTATTTGAATAAGGAATATTTTTTTGATTTTTAAGAGTAATAACTTAAACTAATCATTAACTTAAATATCATAAACTTAAATGAATCATTTGACGTATCGTTGAAAAAAGTAGGTCTAGTGAGGGTTGGCAAAATAAATCGTAGCCAGAAAAAGAACCACATAGTAAAATAATATTAACATGAATATCAATTTCTTCTCACGAGGGGAGACTATAGTGATAAGATCCTTTATATTTATTGAAATTATTGAATCTAAATGAGATAAATATCAAATGATTTGAAAATTCTATTCTAACTCAAAAAAAAAATGCAAAATTTTAGAAGCCACAAACGGATTTGAACCTCGTACCCTAGGCGTTAAAGATCAAGGTGTTACCCATTCGGCAACTATTCGTTGATTTTTGTTGCATGATAAAATTGGCTATTTAAGCTAACTCAAATTTAAAAATTACTTTTTCGACTTTAAAAAAGTAAAAAATGTTAATAAGTATAATATCATATGTCTTATGAACTTTATTCTATGTCAATGAAATTATATAATATTCATGAAAGTCAGTTTATTCCCCTAATAAAATATTTTAAAATAAAATAAAATACAAAACCTAGAATTTTAATAAAAAATAGCATATTTTTAAATACGGTAGCCTTTTGCGCATAGAAGATAGGTCGTCGGGACAAATTTTTTTTTTTCATTTAGTAGTACATAAAATAAGCTTTAATTTGATATATGTTTAAAGGACGCAGTATTTCCGGAACATTTTCAAAAATTAAGTTGAAAAAGTTAGTTTTTGTAAAAAAGTTGCTATTTTAAATCCCCCCTGTGAGCAGAATAAGTGTTAGATTTTCAAAAAAAAATGATATCAAATGAAAGAAAATTACCTAAGGTTTCAATATAAAGAAATATTATTTTGATTAGTTAATATTTGAAAAAGTTATGGCAGTTTTAAGTACAAAAAACATCGTTATAAAAGGTGATTTTTATCGCAAATATTACATTTTTTTTATAATTTCGACAGCCATTTGCACATAGAAGATAAGGTGTCGGGACAAATTTTTTTTTTTCATTTTATAGTACATAAAAAAAGCTTTAATTTGATATATGTTTAAAGGACGCAGTATTTCCGGAACATTTTCAAAAGTTCAGTTGAAAAAGTTCTATTTTTTATACAATGTTTCAAAGTTTGAACCCCCCCTATATAAGGGGAAATTGTCTAATTTTAATAAAAAGTATGTCAAATGGAAGATGTACTTATAATGTATTTAGAAAAAAAAAAATTGTGCTGATACATGCATTTTTCGAAAAGTTATAGCATTTTTAAGTTGAAAATTAAAAATTGAAAATCGAAAATTTTAACACAAAAATAGTGTTTTTTTAACTACGGCAACCGTTTACATGCAGAAGATAAAGTGTCGGGACAAATTTTTTTTTTTCATTTTATAGTACATAAAATAAGCTTTAATTTGATATATGTTTAAAGGACGCAGTATTTCCGGAACATTTTCAAAAATTAAGTTGAAAAAGTTAGTTTTTGTAAAAAAGTTGCAATTTTAAATCCCCCCCCATGAGCAGGTTAAGTGTTAAATTTTCAAAAAAATTATATCAAATGAAAGGAAAATATCTAAGGTTTTAGTTTAAAAAAAAATTATGTTGATTTGTTGATTTTTGAAAAAGTTATGGAAGTTTTAAGAAAAAAAAGTGAAAAAAATGACAAAATTTGTCGATTTTTAAATTTGTAATTTTTTTGGATATTTCCCCCATTTGCGGGGAACGAGGGAAAATTTTTAAATTTTTAAGGGTAATGTCTTCAACTAGATACAATTTGTGATCTTTTGACGTATTGTTAAAAGAAATCGGTCCAGTGAGAGCTGAGAAAAAGTAGTGACAGACACAAAAAAAAAAAAAAATAAAAAAAAAAAATAAACACATCATGGTAAAATTAATACCTTCTCAGCTTCGCATCGAAGCTAAAAATACTGAATATATGTTTTATAATTACCCAGTATAAGTTTGTATTTTCCAATACATCAATACATCAATCTAAAGTTGATGCTATATCAACTAAAGCATAAATTACAAAAAAAAATTGAAGCACCAATTTGTCACCTCCAGTCATTACTTAAAATTGTTAATGACTTCTAAAATAGTTGTTTTTTACTAGTAATTTTTTTAATTATATCATTATTCATTAAGTAATCTAGTCATTTATGTGTATTGCTTTTGATAAAATCGTAAAATATTCAGAAATAATATTTTTTAAAACAAAAATATTAGCCTGTCTATTTAAATTAATTGTATAAGTTTTTAAATTAATAAAATTAAAAAATAAATTATAAATTAATCTAAACTAACATGCCCGAATTTTTCATAGAAAGGGATGTAAAAATTATTTTAAACATTTAAATAAATTTTTTGACCACTTTTATCATCCAAATACCTTTTCTCTTCTTATTTAGTAGACAAAAATACTAATGAAATAACCATTCACCCCTACAGCCCTCCCACTGTTACCCGCCACTGCAAATAGTAAATTCTATTTTAAAACTGAGAAATGATAATGAACTAATTAATAATAGTTATATAACAAAAAGCATTCAATTTTTGTCTTAATTTTAGAGTAAACATACCTTCCAAAGACAATGCTTTCAAAATGTCCAAATGAAGATCATTTGGAATAGACAAGATGCAACACTGTGAACCAGTGCTGTTCGTATAACTTTTGGATAATGAATTTGACTTATGAGGTTTTGCCATGGATTGTATTTTTGAAATTATATCATCTGACAATAGAACAGTTTGTGTTCCACAATTTATCAAATCGAATTTGTCTGTTTGCGTTTCAGGCGTATTAAAGTTAGTCTGAGTAATTATTTCAGAAAATAATATCGAGGTCTGTGGAGTAGCGTCTTTAATCCCCTCAACTTGAGCAACTAAGTTATGTGATCGTGGTACACATTCTATTTGAACCATCACATCTTCTGTCAACATAATAGTATATGATTCACAGTATACTAATGTCACTGAATAAAATATAACGTCAATAAGAATTAAGTTAACTAAAAAATAAATTTATTATGAATAGAAAAAATCAATTTAACAATCGTTTGACTGTACAAAAAATTACCCTTAATATTTCTTCTTGACACATCTAATTATACGTGTTATAAATTTAGTCATTTTTTATCAATAATTTTTGATTATTACTTTACAACACTATGAATGATTCCCGATTCGATAATTATTCTGGTTCTGGATCCTAACTATGTTGAAAACTGATTTTAAAGTGAAAATCGTCATTATTAATAAATGTACAAACGGTTACTACGACTAATTTATTTTTAAACCAACCAGCCAGTCTATTTTAAATTAAATTTCTTTATACAATTTCATTTTTATTAAATTTCATGCATTGAAACGATATTTTAATTGGTGTTCAAAAGTTACGTGTGTAGGTCGGTCAAGCACGTAGTCGTTCTGGAGACGTCTGCGATAGGGAAACCTAAACCGCCGTCGAGTAATAATAAATCACTTACACAGAGTTCGGCCACCGCAGCGTTTACTCGATCATTAGATTTTGGAGATTTTATTTTATTTACGATGAAGTCACGGTGTTTACCGACGTATACTGTTAAATCATTCGAAGTTCAGCTGTCGCAATCGCTTTCCGACTGTACCGGAGTTATTGAATTTTGCAAAACAACGTCTAAACGTGCTCGAGTGCGTGACACAGTAGTCTACTCCAAGACAACTACGAAACTTCAAAAAACGTTGCAGACACAGTCTGAAAATTGGAGACAACCATTGTCGTTGGTATCCGCTAACAATCGCGTCTCCGTCGGAGAGTCGCTTCCAGTGGCTTTTGGCTCAGTGTTTGGATGGATACTTACCGGTCCAGTGCCCCAGACCGACTAGCGTACTCAATTGCCGTGCCCTATTTCTCTTGTGTCGTCGGTGAAAAATGTAATAAGTAAGTTCTGGCAAATAGAAGAACCTGAGGTCGCGCCTGTTGATTTTACTCACGCAGGTCTCTGTGAAACTATGTATAAAAGTCTCGTGATGAAGACGGTCGTTTTGTAGTACCGTTGTTTTTTAGTCGGCCGATTGTGGACAATACGTTTTACGGTTCACGTGCGGCCGCTGTACGACGTTTTACGTACTTAGGAAAGAAATTGGACAGAAGCCGTTTTAAATAACGTTTTGCCGGATGATCGTGTCATAGGTTTGCTACCGTTTGATGACAACGACGCCATAGGCACGAAGGTACTCGGGCTCCAAGGGGACCACCGCAGAGATACATTTTATTATCACGTACAGGCAGTACCAACTATTACTACTAAGCGAGGTATGCTGTCGCTGATGGCGCGTATCTTTGATCCACTCGCTCTGGTCTGTCTGGTTATATTTTATGCCAAACATTTGATGCGACGGGTATGGCAAATGAACTTACCGTGGGACGAACCGTTGCATAGCGTTATTTTGGATAAATGGCGCACAGCTAAAGTCGAAAAGTCCTCCAGGAGCGGATGGGGTAGTTCGTGTCGTACGTAAATGGAATGTTAATGCGGCCTGTCGTTAAAATAGTCAAGTTACCCACTTTGTAATTATCGTTCTATATATGTATATATTGTATTAATTATCAGTAAGTGTATTTATTTATTTTAGCATATTTTTACGTTATGTTTATACATTGCATCATGTTCGTTTGGAAAAAAAAGTGGGAAAATCACGGGGGAGAGACAATATATATTTTATAGTTCATTTTTATTACAATAAAGTATGCAATCGGTGGTTTCCTACACTTGAAAAAAAAAATTATGTTCTATCTTAAAATATGGATTTGTTAACGTTTTTCTGTACTTATGTTATTTGTCTAATATGACCAACGTTTATTTGGTGGTTATTTATTGTCATGTATTTATTTATTTTTATCTTTATACCATTGTTACAGTTTTATAAATTTATTATTATTAATGATTGTTTTGTTGTACTAATTTTTTATATTTTATATTGTTGTTCTTATTTGTTAGGATTTGTCCACTCATGCCATCAAGTTTTGTAATGCTCTATACCATTCAATGGATCAACTGTCTCGGCTTAAATCGTAAGACGTGATCGTCTTCCGAGGGGGAGGATGTTCAAAAGTTAAGCGTGTAGCCTGGTCAAGCTCCATGTAGCTTATAATCACCCTCTCTCGTTGCTTGGCCTACGACAGTCATAAACGTCGTGTCCACGGCACTACCGGCACCTAAGTTAGTACGTACGTGGATGTGTACTTAAGTCGTACCGTTGAGTTTCCTAACTCGTTGGCCAGTGAGCTGTAATGTTTTTTAGTACACACGTTTTGTGTACGATCGATGAGTCGTTCCGAGGAATTTTTGTTGACTCGTGGCCAGCGATAGAACGATGGTTTATTTTTTATGTTGTTCCCCGGCCCGCCGCCATTTCGTTGCGAATTTTTCAACTGTCAATTGCTTAAAACAGTTATCTCATACAACATCTTTACTAGAACTAAGAACGCAAAACTTAATCTGTGATTACTTCGTTAATCAAGCTGGCAGCTGTACCCCATGTAATCGTCGAATCCGTGGATTGACTTGGTTGGAGTATATCGTCTAATTGTATCTAAAATTATTTTATTGTTCAATGTCATTACATTTGTATTTTGCGGACGTTCGATTAAATTTAAATATCAATTTATACATGTAAAAATTGTATTCTTTAAAAACATACTAATTATATGAATCTTATTCCTTCTTTTTTTATGGTTAGAAATCTATCATTGAAATCCCTTGGTATTGTTACTATTAGTCATACGGACCAACCGCTTTAGCAGAATACCAGTGGCGAACATTTGGTAATATTGATTACCAATTTTATATTTTTATGTATTTTTTTTAATCGAATTATTTCCCTTTATTCAGGAGTCGATCATAACATTAAACATACATATAACAAGTAGAACTTTTTCAAATTAACATTTGAAAATGTTCTGAAAATCATGCGCCCTTTAATCATATGTTTATTTAAAGTTTTTATTATAAGTTAAAATATTTTCGTAGCACTATATCTTATGTACGAATGGCTAAGTAGTTAACTAAGGTTTAGTAGTCCACTCAAAAACTTATATTAATTAATATTACTAATATAAAATCGAGAATTTTACACACAAAAATAGCATATTTTTGAATACGGTTAATTTTCAAAAATTCAAAAATTTTCCATAAACTACGATGATCAAACGTAATATTCTAAATATTGTATAATAATTATTAGTATGCAATGAGTATTACTGGTATCATAGTCATTAATTTTAATACAATTTATATAGTTCATCAATTATTATTATTATTGGTTTGGTGAGTGGAGTACTGTTTTGGGCTACCTTAGAGGTTTGTAACTCTAATTTGACAGCATCCCAAGATGGAGGCGATTAAAAATAAAAGGCACTGAATTTCAGAAAGAGCGTCTCTTCTACTTTTAAAACTCTGAATTCAATATAGAACTCAGCATTTCTTTGTCCGGTTTATTTTTCTTAAACCCCATGTTGTCGTCAGTACTTATTAGTGGAGCGCTTGTTGATATTTCTTCGTTTGAAACTTATTTACTTACCTTGCCAAAAATTCGAAATTCTGAAAGGCAATCATTAAAAAGGACGTTGGTCATTTTTGAACGTTACTGAATAATTTTAAATTAAAAAACAAAGTAAGTAATTCACATTAGCCCAATTATTTAGAATTAATAATCTGAATACAGAACGGTAAAGCAATAGATTGATTTGAAAATCATTTAATTTAATTATTAAAAACTAGTTAGTGCTTGATCATATACTTCAACAAGGTGTCAGATAGGAGACAAGGCCCTGATCACTACAAGAATATCTCAGCGTGTAATATCTCTATAAGAGGAACTTTAATCGTTTCATTTTAATCTACTTGTCTTTATTGTTTTAAACTCTCAGACTCTACAATCCCGATAAAAACCTCGTTATTAACGAATTGACCAATTCCCCAAATATCCAAGCTTGGTCAAAATACCCAACACATATATACCCTTATTTTTATTACTACATAATACGCAATTAAACAAAACACATTTTAAATGGATTTTCAATTTTTATAAATAAGAGTTATAAATAGATAATTCTAATAATATAAATAAATTAAGTACAAATTACAATAACAATTGTACATGGAAAATTATATGATAATATAATAATAAATGATTATTTAGCCATCTTTTAAAACGGAAGAAATCCACTTGAGATTTGATTTGACTTTATCATAAAGTCTGGGACGCATCATTCCATCAGCAGAACAAGCAATTCGCCAATTTGTGACACCAATTAAAACCCAATTTTTTTTACTTGATGTAAGACACATCATTGGACTTCCAGCAAATTCTTCTACCATACAGTCATTGTGGTCATAAATTGAATCGTAACATAGCCCATTTACACTCGTAATACTAATATTTGCACAACTATCCATAGAGCTCTCAATAACCTCTATTCGTTGAAGAGTATCTCCTAAATAAACATTATGATGGATTCATGTTCAAAAATGTGCTTTATACATAGGCGCATATGTACTTAGCACCCTTAGAAATTTTGAGCAAGACAACAATTTAAAGAGATTTATGATATTTAATTTACTATTATACATAATTCCTATGATTTACCAAAGTATTAAAAAAGTCTAATTGTCATTTATAATTATTTTATAATGTTCCAAAAAACGTATCTTTTTCTTATTTAATTTGTCTAATATTTTATGGTATTATATAATTAAAATACTAGTTATATTGGTGGTGTGCAACATTTAAATTTTAGCACCTCCACGTTTTTGACTCACTATGCGCCTATGGTTTTATAGTCATAACTTACGGTTTTTTGACCATCCCAATGTCTGACAATGCAAGAAGTGTCCATCAATTTGGTCTTCGTTTATACATACTGGCCTAATATGATCAGAAAGTATAATTGGAGAATTCAGTTTAATCATAACTAAAGTACTTCCTTCGACAGGTGATTTTACCATTCCAACGATATGTCTTTCTTGTTGCCATGGTGAAATGGAATTCAATCTAATAATTCCTAAACGAGCAACCCATTCAGCTTTGCTTTGGCTAAAATCATACCACGTATTCAATTATATTATAGTTATTGTAATAATTTTACTATTATATAAATAAATGTATTAATATTTATGAAAGAAAGAACAAATAATACGAACTTTTAAGGAGTAACATTATGACATTGAATATCTTAAAAATATATTACTAATAAAATAAAATAAATTAATTTTTTTAATTTTTATCTTAATTGGTATTTTCAGAATTTTTTGAATAATAGTACTCAAAATTAATTTGTGGAAGCTTCTAAAATTTTCGGTTAATCCAAACCTTGTACATACATTTTTTTTTATAATTATTCAAAAAAAATTGCCTTTTGTTATCATACTTTAAGAATAATATAAAAATTTTATTATATTACCTAAATATAATGATATTTATAACATTAGATGAAAACATTAGATAGGAAAGTATTTAAGGAAAACTAGGGGATACGAGCCGCTGCTCATTCTCATAATTATCCAATCTATCTTTCTATTATGATTTATAAGTTACTAAATTTATTGATATTTTACCCTTGAAAACATGAAGCACTTGTTAGTAGCCATTCGGGTGATATGAGACTAGCATCGCAGACATGAGATCCACTTTTATAAAGAGTAGCATGCCAAGGCCAATCTCCATGAGTAGCTATTTTATTCAATCCGTCAACGCCAAACTTATTTTTTCTACTTGTTTGAATACCACATACTATATTTAAACAAATAAATTTCTTAGTATAACCATTTAAATCTAGATGATCATTAATGTACCAATACACTAATGAAATATTTTAAAGGTTATACAAAAAGTTGAATCTACAGAATCATATTAATTAACTAAAAATTATTAAAATGATAGTATGATGTAATAATGTATTTACCGGGATCACTGCACGACACGTGCATTACTTTTTTATTAGGACAAGAGCCCAGATTAAAAGTAATTTCACTGGCAAATGGGTCAGCTACGTTAACATATCGTGAAGAACTGGATGAAAATAGATCGTTATCATCAACAATTTGAATTTTCGAAAGATTTCTAAAATATAATAATAATAGATTTATTTAACTTAATAATCATCCTTTGTAACTTAAAGACACATACTGAAAATAGAGTGTGCGACAAAGAGACGTAGCTATTGTCTGCAGTGCCATATCTATTCTTTCATTGGGAATATCTGTTTGGAAATTGGAAGCACATAATTTTCCAGTCATGCCCTTTTCGATAAAAAAAACAAAACCTTCTGGATAATAGGCATCGACTGTAGCTAAGGGTAAAGCTTGTTCAATAGCTCGTGCATTTGGTGATATAATTACTATGAAAATAGTTTTTATAAATTTAATTAGCTCAAAATAATTATTTCAATTATATTATATAAATATATATATTATATTAATTAAAAAGTATACTCGTTGAAATATTGCTTACAGCAATTTCGCTCGTCCATTTCACCTGGACAGTCCACTACACCATCGCATTTAGCTGATAATGGAATACAAGTCCGGGTAGTAATGCAATGAATATAACTAGTAGGACAATAGCCACAAGTTTTTTCATCGGACATGTCAGGACAATCATGAACTCCGTCACAGAGACGATTAGATAATCCTGTATTACGTAGTTTATAATCACAGCCTGGTTTTGAAGCACAAGTAGAACCGATACTACTGTACTCGGGAAATTTGGAACAATCAAAGCCTTCAAGTAATTTTAGTGGTACTCTATATCCACAGCCAGACATAAATAATCGACAACTATGTCTACATGGCAATAACATTTCGTCCTGCATAGAATTTTCGTTTGACTGACATGCTGGTTGAAGGAGTTGGCACACCAAATCCAAAGTTCTTTGATAACATTCCGCATCCACCAAATCTCTGAAAATTACATAGGCATTTTTTAATGTTTATTAAAATAATACCATAATATGCTTACCTAAATGCAATTAAATCATTTTGAACGTCATCTAAGTTTTTGTGTCCAAAGTGATTGGGATAACTAGTCATATTATACTCCAAAATTGAATTACACAAATTCAATTTGATAGGAGTACATTTTCTAGGAATTGGTGTTGTAGGGTAAAATTCAGTTGATGATACATAATCAGGTGCAATAGTTGATGATTTTGTAGAAAAAAGGGCGCTATTGGTTACATGCTTTATATGTAAACTTCCAGGTATAATATTTGTCGTAGGATATAATCGGCGGAAAGCCGACAATATGTCGTCGGCAGTTACATCTGCCGTCCATCTTACAGGTTCAAACCTCAACCAGAAATAGACTTTTAAATTAGTCTCTTCGTCGCTAAATTTAATAAAAAAAATGTCAAATTACTTTTATTCTGTACATTTAAAATATACAAAAGTACATAATATACTTGGTCAAAAATAGCGAGTCTAGTACTATTAACCATAAAGAAAAGACAATATAAAATCTAATAAATATAACACCTTCAAGTCAACGGTTTTAATCAACATTTACTAAAAAACAAACGAATTTCGAAGAGAAATATTTAACAAAACTAAAAGTAGTTCATAATGAACAGTCCTTTCTTATTAAAAATTTCAGAATCCTTCGGATAATTTCTATGTACACACTAGGGGTGATCATTTTTTTTTGTTAGTAGTAATAATTAAAATAAAATTATAAAAACATACAGCTCTAAAGCTATGACTTCAGCATCGATTAATTTATTTTGAATGGGACTTTTTTTTATTATATGCTTAATTATATGTGTATAATTCAATGAAAATCGTTGATACTCTTGACTAGCAGGATTATCAAAATCTATTAAATCAACTCCTTTTTCGTCAGCTTTCAAATCACCTTTGAATATTTTTTCATTTCCATTATATGTTCTTTGTAAATAGTCATCTATAAAATTTAAAGTAAATTTACCAATTAATAGTTTTAATGTATTTAAGTTACTTAAATTTTAAAACTTGTTCATATTTACGTGGTAGCGTAAATAAACTTATATCAATTTCAAATTTAACATATTCAAAATAACTAATATAAATTAAATTTAAAGTAGAAACATTAAAAACAGTATAAAAGTTAAATATTAAGTAAAATTTTAATCAATGTGCTTAAAATGTTATAATTGGTCAAATATATATTATACGTTCCACTCCAAATCACCACTATACCATTACTTATTATGGATTAAGCAAGCGAAAAAAGAACCATCTCTGAAACTGGTACATTTAGTATAAACCTCGACGTTTTAAAAATATAAAACATTTTTATGAACGGACGTAATATACAGATTGTGATAAGACAATTTACACTTTTCGTCCTGTATAATACCCCTAAATATCTAATTAAAATTATTTTATAACACACAAGTAAAAAAACATTTTAAATTATGAATTATCTCAATGGAAAATTGATACTGCTTGTAGCACTAGTTATATGAAAATTAATGATCATTAACATAAATAATAAATTAAATAAGACCTAGCATAGTACACCAGTGTATTAAATAAACTATTACTAAAAGTATTATTAATTTTTACTAGTTATGACCTATCACTTAGATAAAAAGAAAACGAGTCTAAACCAGTTCCTTTTATACTAGGGTTGTTAAAAAATAGAATATTTATTTTTCTTATTTTAAGTATTATGTTATAACTCTAGATTTTGTTCTTGGATAACAGTTATAACATAATTGCTAAAGGTACATTAAAGAATACAATAAGAAAAAATACGTTTACTTACATCCAGCATATAAAGATAAAGATGAAACTAATAAAAATAATAAAATTGTTTCTATAACACAACACTTCCATCGATATCTTTGACTAAATTTTCTAGTAAATTTTAGTTTGCTGTCAGTTGTGGAAGCATATGAACCGGTCGCTCCACTAACTACAGACACCTGCAAATAATAAAATATATTTCAATACATGATTAGATATACATATGTGTGTACTAAATTCAGACACAAACTTAAAAAACTTAATACTTTCAGGTTTAAGAAAAGTTTTTAAGAGAATACGTCTAAAACAAATATAAATAGAGTTTTTTATAATTACTAACGATCAGTAATATGTTTATGGGAAAACATTTGATAAATTTGTATAGAGTTTACTCGAAGGGGCACCCGACAAGCATTAACCGTATACCATTTATAATTATTTAGGATAAATAAAATTTTGGCTGATTAACAAAAACGGGTAAAATTTTTTTTAAAAATGTATATTACAGCAAACATACATTTCGATAAGATCAAAAAGCTAGAAAATGTTTGCCATCACTTCAATATAAATTGTCATTTATTTTCATAAAATAAAATAAATATTGCTGTTTGTTTATTTATACATTTTATTTTATTGCTTATGTTATATTTAATACACATAAAACATCAGTAGTATATCTTAGTAGTTTACGGAGGATAATTGCAGATAAGTGTTTAGAAATTAATACCAAACGTAAAAAGTAGAATGTGTGTTGAATATGTTCATAAATTATAACTAATTAAGTGGATCATTGGAGATATTATCATTAGTAACTTCTAAAATAGCATTAACCCTGATTTTTTTATTTTACTAATTAAGTAGATAATACAAGAATTGTACTTCTCAGGGAAAATGATTTAAGTTAAATTACCTCGGTAATAGTAACTGTGATAGTAATGACTATGAGTAAAAATAAGTTAAAATTCATTTATAGTTATACAACAAAATAAAAGTACAATGAAAGAATAAAAAGTAAAACTTTAAAAACAATTAACAGTTCTCATATATTTATAGCGAAAGTATACAAATAATTGCGTTCATAGCTTTAACACGATTTCTCACCTAATTTAAATAAAGGAAATCTTTAATTAGCTGTAACATATTTATTAATGGTTAACTGTCGGGGATATTTAATTTTTTCTGAAAATCTAATTTTATTTTCATTAGGAAGAAACCACGGAAAATGTTTTTTAGTTTTGTTAGTATATAATTACAAAACAATTAATTATAATTTTATTATTTGATAGCAATTAAAAATTTGTCGTCTGGCATAATGTTACTTTAGTAAAAATATTAATATGTTTAGTTATGGTAAGCTGTACAAGTTCATGTAAAAATAGCATAAATAATTGTCAAACTATTAAATTGGATAACTAATTACATTCGTTGTAAAATTCTCATGATTAAGGTTAAAGATGTTACTTTTACAACAAAAAAAATGTGGTGTGTACTTTTACGCTCAAATAAATGTCGTAGAAAAAAAAAATTAATCTATTACATTTTACGTTAAAATAAAACACGAACACCAATAAAAATGGCCTATAATATTATCTTTGATACATTTACTATTATTTGGTATATATGAAACATGATCAGAGGATAAAGAGAAGTAAATGTACTATGTACAACACTCGTTCACGTTCTATCGTTTTTTCGTACAGTAAGCCACTCTTCTTTCATCACCTTCATGCAGATTAACACTCACAATTCAGAATGATTTTATTTTACCTTGTGAACTTTTTCTCTAAAAAAAATAATGATAAAAGTATTTGTTTTCAAGTAAAATTTGTACCGTTACATGTTTAGAACAACAGAAGGAAACTGAACAAAATCATACGGAAGAGTAGGTTATGACTTGGGTACCTACTTACACATTAAACCTATTCGTTCCGTTGTTGGCGCGTCCACTCGTAAAACCGTGATCGGTAATGTTGACCCAGTTAGAAAAACTCACTTCTGATCTTGGACACAGAAAACATACATTGTATTATATACACTAGTCTGGTATCGTATTTGCACCGTGTACAATATTGTTTTCCCTACAAATCGTCGTGCTCGACTTAGCTACTTATTGAGTCCAGTCTCGTTGCCACTGTCAAATAATTCTAAACTAATTCCATTATACTGTTTTTCATATTTAGTCATTTTATGGTTCGGTGTAACGGAATATATCGCATTGCTTAAACGCGAGCCTTTGAAAAATCAAGATAGCAAATATACAGCTATAATATAGAATCCATAAAAAATACGACGACAGCAATTGCCGGCTTCTGTGATCAGTCGCTTTATTCACGCTGTACCTTCTCGTAGAGATCAATTATATTGAATTGTTCCGTGTGACCGCAATGACTTACTGAACACACGTACGAAAACATCACGATCCGGTTTAATCTCGTTTTGTCCATTTCTCTGGTTTTTAGGTTTATTAGATTTTTTTTACAAGATTAGTGTAATTTTGAGCAGTTGTCACTTGAAAAGTATATTTCATATTTAATGGACTTTAAGGCATAATATTTTCTATAGTTGCTACAATAATTCCGTGTCTTAAAAGCGACTCGGCCGCTTTCACGTTGGGTCGTTAATAAAAAATAAATAACGCAGAATCGAGTGAAATTTTCTACATCGGCTCGTATGCACAGAACCAACAATGTAAGCCGTCAACTTAGATTTCAATATGGTCACGATTTTTTATATTTTTTTATTGTTGTTTTCCATAAATTAAAAATGTATAAAAAATGACAAAGTGGCATGAAAATTTAAATACATAAATAATCGAATTTTTACGACTGTAAAACCAACACGTAATATTTGAGCCTATAAATACACAACCATTAAAGTCTGGCAAATAAAAACATAAACATGTGAATGTATTAGAAAGAAAAGAACAGAAATATTATATAAATATATTATAAACAGGTGTACTTTCTCAGTCTGTTTTTAATAGTTTATTAAAGTTAATATTATTACTTTTGGTAATCGAATACAATATACAACAATTTTGTTTTTAGGCTAAAAGTTCAAACTAAATTGAATTTGACGATTGAACTCCACTCAATAAAATATATCTTTTACTTAAATCTTGGGAGAGTATATCCCCTAAAAAATGTGTATATTATTTAAAGAAATACATGAATTTCTATTATTCTAACGATCTTTATCCTAAACTTTAGGTCATTTTTCAAATTGCATTTAATTCAAACTTACTAAAAAAATGATTATGCATTGCTTCTTTTCAACAGGAGAAATTTAGGAAGTATTAAGATAGATCTTTGAGAAGTCTATCCCTACACTTACATACAATTTACCATAAGAAATGTATGCGGATTTGTCACAACATCATGAAACATTCTATATATATATATATATATATATATATATATGTATATAATTTTTTTAAAGGTGTTCATTAATTTTACAATCAATAATAAAAATGTTGAGGATGTAATGGCCAAATTAAAAATATAACCACTCTAAAAAAATATTAAATGATCTCCTGATCAATTGCATTACTAAAAGCTATACTTAAAATCTTCCTTCTCTGTAATCCTAATAATTTTCAAATAATGCTAATATTCCTTTAAGTTACCCAATTACAAAATAAAAAATAGAAATCCTCGAAATTTTGTAGCATTTGGCAGGTTTGGAGATTTCCATTTCAATGTCTCTCAATATAAAATAAATCTCTCTTTTCAAATAGTACTTTCAAACGAACTAAATAAAAATGTTTGAATAAAGTATAACTGTTATCCAAAATAATTATTAGTAATTTATAGAAAATCTTAAGTGTTAAATTCTAAATCTAATAGGTATTTTTTATGTATTTTGTAGTTTTCTTGTACAAACAATAATTTTCAATTATGTATAAAATGTTTTATTTTCTATTTGACTTTTATACCTTTGTATCCCAATGATTCTTTCCTGTCATATCCGTTTTTTCGAACTAATCAATTAATTAACTAAATTAAATGCATAACTTTATTTTTATTCGATTTTTCACTTATATAACAGATAAATATTCATTATATAAAATCAAATTTCTAACAAATGTGAAGAATTATTCGCCGACATTTTTTTATCAATGTATCGCATTTTGAAAAGATACCGCACAAATGAAGTTAATACTAAGGATTGCAACAACAGTTAGAAACAACTTCCAGATGCATGAACAGTTTGCACATGTACTGAACTGACAACAACTTAGGTTCGGCAGTCCGTCTGTTATAGTGGTCACAGAGATCACTTTCTCCAAAATTTCCTCTGTTCCCGTTCTTTTTCTAATCCGCGTCTGAATCATAAGGATGTTCGTTTTTAAAAATCAATTTGTGTAAAATAAAATTTAATTATTCGTTGATGAAACAACTAACGATTATTTATACTTTAATCGTTAATTTTCATTATAATGTCATAATCCAGATTTTTTCAATGGAAGGTAAAAAGTTATTATTAGGTTTTAATTATTGTTTAATTAAAAAAGTATAATATATTACATTAAAGATTGTTTTGTTTTTTTATGTGATGACAAGTGATTGAATATACACGTATTTATATACTTACATGAACATATAAATGCCCAAAGAAAAATTATATTTATTTGATTGCAAAATTGTACAAGAAACATGCTATAACCCAGATATAGATATGAAAGGAGTTATAGGGCCTTCTCTTAAAAAATTAAAGGTTCACTTTTGTTTGATTAATTTATAATTAAGATGCCTTTTAAAGAAATTGTTCCTCATTATTAAAAATGATAAAATAACCCAATTATAAAATTTCTGTTGAACTATCACCTGTTATATCCCCATAAAGTATCCAAAATCTAAATGTAGAGCCGCATTATGGAGTTGTGTCTCTTAGGTACTCAATTTTGCCCTAACATCATTATTATAGTACTCATTAAAATAATTTTTCACTATTTTTATGTAAGGCTATTTTTTTCACTTGAATGAAGAAAAAATGAAGTTTTCAACTTTATAACTTTTATTGCTTTATTTTCAGTGTCACCGAGTACTCACTAGATGCGGCCTTGTTTAAATTGACGAAAGGTTTTAAGGGTATTTCTTTTTAGATCCGTATTATGTAGGTAAAATTCTAAGGTTTAATATAAGGATTTTTCTCAAGTTTATGTTTAAAATTCTAAACCAGCTAGTTACCTCCTGACTTTAATTATCTGGTTATTCTACTCTACATTAATTTTTTTTAGGCTTGTTAGGGTATGTTATAATTAATCGAGCTATACAATGAGCCCTTAGTTTTTTTAAACATTTATATTTTCATATTAGTATGCATTAAATTATAATTGATCTTTTACGACAACAATAAAAATATTGTTTTATTGTTATAAAATAATAATATTAGAATATTATTTGTAGATTAGTAAAACATTAAATTATCACTAAATATTTTGTTTTGTAAAATATAAAACTACGATAGCATTTAAAAATAAAACTAAAAATGTGCTTTTACGCCTCACACTGTGGGGTATTGATAATTTAAAAAAAAATTCTAAGAATTATTTCCTAAATATTGTTTTTTAGATGAATATTAAGTAAATAAATTATTATAATAATATTCGGTCCCTCCCTTTAAAAATCAGAGAATAGCTATATTACCTATGTGATGTATATTTTTTCTAACATATTGTCAAGATATTCTAATTTTTAAATTAAATAAAACATTTTTCTTTCCTAATAATTAATTTAATACATTTTTAACTAGACATTTAAAAATATATTTCAATTGTTCAATTTGATATTTGGTTATAAAATAAAAAAATATTCTCTGTATCATTGTTTTATAGGATATCGATTAAAATTATTATTTTATTCATATTCTTATCTAATATTGTTAAAACAATAAGTTTTCAAAAATATATTGTTGATGAACCTTACTAATTATTAACTATATTTTATGCAATAATTAAATAATCATCATCTCCTTTTTTAAATAGAAACTTCATATCTTGGCTGGAAGAAGAGTATAACCAGAAAATGACTAATGATAAAAATAACAACATCCACTTATCCACTATTATATAACTACCAAAGTACTGATCTAAAATATGATATCCTCCAGTTATTTTCTTAATTAGATTGTTATCACTTAAATAAACTAGTTAATTAGATATGTTACTATTTGAAATTATAAAGTTGACATCCCAATAAATTCTGATTCTAAAAAGTAATTAATAGCAAGAAATATATGTAAGTAAAAAAAATTTTTTTCAATTATATATTTATTTTGTGAGTAATCGAGTATTTTATAATAAACTGATCACCCTATATATATATACAAACATATTAACATTTAAGTAAATAATATTTATTTCTATTTAAAAAAAGTTATTATGATTATTCTTATTATTTATGATTCAAAAAAATTTCAAATTATCAACATATTTTATATTAAGATATTAATTACAGGTTGATTTTTAATAATGGTATCCTTTTATATTTTTAAATAATTTTTTTACAAAAATTAATTTAAAATAATGGGTGATAATAAACTGATCATTATATATATATTAGAAAAAACAAATAAAATACTAAAAATAGAAATATAAAATAATTTTAATAAGGTATATTAATGTGTAAAAAACTAATACGGTAATATATATTTTTTTAATCATTTTGTGTATATCATAATTTTATCAACTCACTAAAGTTTTAAATACATTGAAAAAACAATAATATTTCAATAAAGAAAATTAAAATTACAAAAAATGCTTAAAAGAGAATGTTAACAATTTTTTTGGAAAAATAAATAAATTGAAATAAATTAAATATTTAAATCTATGAACACAAAAAAAAATTGTATACAAAAACATAGATAAGTATAATGTTATTATTACAGATATCATAAAAAAAAATTGATAATTCAACTATCAGTGTTCTACAAGTTTTTTAAATTTGTATTGGAACTATAAAGAGTTTATCAATAATTAGTTATCACTTTTTACATTTTGTATTAATATATTAAAACACATTTTTATTTACTCAAGTATAAAACCGATGATAATACAAAATGTATTTATATAAATAAATAATTATATTTAATTTCTACAAATCTACTCCTTAGTTTAATAGTAAAATTAGTTATATAATGTTACATAGTTTCTTATTTGATACACATTAAATACTTAATATTTTTTTAATTAAATTAAGATGCAATATAAATAGTATTTTATAGGTCTGTATCATACCATGCTGCTACTTGATTATTATCATGTGGAGGTTCAGGTAGATCACCTAAGTGTCCAAAATCAATAGTATGGTGATTTCCTGTATCCATTGGACTGCAGTTTGATTCTGGTTGAGAACTTATTTCTAATCCTTGCATTGAATCTATTGGTAACGTGTCATACCCTAAATAAAATAAATTCTTATTAAAATTTATCTAGTATTGTTTTATTATAAATGAGTTATAGAAATAAAATTATTTGATTAGTTAAAAAAAATTTTTTAACTAAATATTAGAGGCATCAACATTAAATGTCTAGGAATTGTAGAAGCTGTTTTAAAATATTTGTCCAAGCTACATTTATTTATTTTAATTTCAATTTTTTACTTGGAAGTATTTACAATTAATATTTTCCTAAAAAATATTTCAGTGAACAGAAATACATACAGTTGAATTATAATGGTAATTATTAACAAATAATCTAATTTTGGTTTTTCATTACAGCAAAATGTATTTATGGTTCATTATCCATAAATATTAATTAATTAAAACTTTATATAAATAATGATTTTACACTTTGTATGAGTAAAAATGGTGCATTATATTGTAGTACAAATTCAAAAAAATGTTTGGAATATTATCAGAAATACTTACTTTTTTTAGTGATAAGTATGCACATGCACAAAAAAAAAGATACTAATATATAATTAGTTAAAAAAAAAAAACTAAAAAAAAGACAAGGTATTTTTTACCTGATTGTTGGTGATAATTGCTTTGTCTCAAAGACCCAACTCCATTATGGATACTACCTAGTCCATGACCATACAAGTCATATGCATCCTATTTAAACACACAAAACTATCTAACTACTACACAATATATTTGACTTCTTAACCAATTAAATTACAAAACTAAAGGTGACCTACATAGCTTAGCCTGGAATATTAATGTTAATTTACATATCTATAAAATGAAAATTCTAGAATTTTGATTTTATTGCACTGAGCTATATAGGTTTTCTTGTTCTCTCTATCACAGGCAATGGCTTAAAATATAAATCATAATGAACAAACAATGTATTTTAAAAAATATATTTGATATCACATATATTATGTAATATAAAAAACACATAATAAATTTAAATGAACACTATTTTAATAGTTATAAGCGAAATATCATGCATTTAAGGCTATAAATTAATTAAATCAGTAAAACATACCATATCAACGATGCATTTAAACTATCATAATTTTTATTATACTAAGAAAATTATTTATTATTTATGAACATAAGTTTAATTACCTGAAGATCAGGTCCCATGCCAAGATCACCAGGTGGCCAAGTATTTTGATCTTCTCGGCACAGTGAATTACTTAATTCAGCAGATAACCTTTTTTTATAGTCATTGGGTTTATCTTCAGACATTCTAAAGAGTACTGCTGCTGCATAAGTAGCTAATGAAAAATAAATGTTATTTATTCATATTGAAATTTTTGACACAGCTACCATAAAATAATTACAAATTTCATTTTTTTTTTTCACTAAACACATCTTTTGTGGACAGTAGTTGAATAAACTATTTCTATAGTCAAAAATATGTTCATTTTTAACAAATAATATATATATAACCAACCTAATTAATTTATATTTAATGTATTTCTGAAATAATCAATTAAATTTGTAATTGTAAAAGCTAGATCTTCTTTTAAAAAATTGAATAATTTGAGAAATAGGTTTTATTCAGTAAATATATGTGCATTTATTTTACTAACCAACTCCTTCATTTCGAGAGTGTAAAAGTTCGGTTAATGGTGCAGTTGCACCTTCTGCTTCTATCATGTCAGCACCATCTTTATCAATAGCTAATTCACATAATGCTCCTGCTGCAACTCTTTGAACATTTTCAATATCATTAAATAGTAATTGTACAAGGACTGCAATTAATCCTTGTTGGGAGCGCATGAGAACTCGATTATGTGACTCTCTTGCTAAAATATGTAATGCACCAGTGGTACCTTCAACTATTTCTTCCATGCGTACACCATCTGCATACACACCACCAGATTGTGATCTATTTGAACCTGCTACACTACTATTTGTAGATGTCTAATGGAATATTAAAAAAAATATTCATTATATGTGTATCCATAGTTTTTATATTTAACAAACTTACTCTTTGGATATCTTGAAATGCTCTCATTAATAAACGTATTAAGTGATGAATAGCTCCATGCTCTCTAAGTGGTACATGATTACCTTGACACTGAGCTACATTTCTAATAAGTCCAATAGCAGCTTTAACTAGTGGCCAACGAGATGGGGGTTGAAGCAATTTCACTATGACTTGAATTCCTCCAATATGCCGAATTGCATTTTGAGCACTGTCAGATTCAACATGTCTAGAGGTTAAATGTCGTAGAGCACAAACCTAAAAATAAATAACAATTCAATAATAATATTAATTATACAAGCAATTTACTAACAGCTGGTTCAGTTATTTCTTCACGATCACCAGCATTCATAATTGTTTGAACTAAAGCTTCTACACCTCCAACTTGTACAACTGTAACTTTATTGCGTTGGTTGTTGCAGGTCAAATTTGATAATATTCCTGCAGCACAAGTAACCACGTTAACATCGGAATGATTCAAAGCTATTACTAATGATTGCAATAATTGTTCCAGTCCATCAACCTATATAATAAAATAAATATTTTATTAAAAAATTACATTAATTATTTCATATAAAAATTTATTTGTTTTACTTTAGTTCCTGCATCAGATAAATTACGTAATGTCCACAAAGCATTTTGAACTAATCTTTGACTACCATGTTGTAAGTGCATTGCTAAAGCTTGCATACCACCAGCTTCCACTATTGCAGGTTTATTACTTGAGCACACAGATAAGACTGAAAAATAAATGTTTGTTGATTTCTTCAGATAAAAAGAAAATATTGTTAAATACCTTTTAAAACTCTTGATGTTGTCCATAACAGCTTTTCATAATCATAAGAACGCATAATTCTAACAAGCTCAATAGGTCCTTGAGAAGCTAGAATAATTAATTTACTTTCTTGATTGCCATAAGCTAATATTTGTAAGCAATCAGTAATAATGGTTAAAAATTTAACATTATTTCTTTGGAGAAGTGCTACCATTTTTTGTAATCCACCAGCTAGACGTACAGCCATTTTGGAACCTTCTTGATGAAGTAAAAGATTATGCAATGTTGTTATTGCATAATATAAAATAGATTCAACAGGAGAACTAAAAAAATTAATAATAATATTATTTTAACAACATATTAACTCATCATTGGGGTAGATAAAAAAACGTCGATCATCAAAATTTTAATGAGAAACCCTTTACACATTATATACATTATAATAGATATTTGTGAAAATTTGATATTTATAAGAAATTTTTTCTGGTTGCTCAACGTGTTTTCAGTGTTTTGACCAAAAGTCAAAACATTTCATTTTTTTTTGCATTCAAACACGTCGAGTGTGTTTAATCCTGAATGACATTTCACCATAGTTTTTTTTTAATTATAATAAATATATTATTACATTTTTATGAAAATGAACCAATTTTTTTAGGTGTAAAATAAAAAAATGTTTCAATAAATCACTTTTGGTAAATAATAATACCGTGTCAACTTACTTTAGTAAGTTTAGGAATTTTTAAATTTAACTTTAAAATTTTTATATACCTTAATAATTTTACTAAAGCTGGTATTCCTCCACTTTTAAAAATTGCTAATAATCCTTGACGATGATGAGATAAATTATGTAAAGTACCAACAGCTCCTTTTGTCATTTCCAGGTCATTACTATTTGTCAATGCTTTAACTAAAGCAGCTACCATCTAGGTAATGGCAAAAATTAATTATATTAATAAGATAAACAACTAATCATTTTTTTAAAAAGTTATATTATACCTGTGGGCTATTCATAATAGCATGTCTTGAAGCTTCTTTCTTGGATAGTTGATGGACCATCATGGCAGCTTGTGATACAACAACTTGATCTTCATCATTTAGCAATTTTATTAATTCAGGAATAGCTCTTGTAGCTAAGTCAGCATCATCCTAAAATTATAATTTAGGATGATTAAAATAAAAGTTTTATAATGATAATATATTTTTTGAGTTGAATTAAACATCAATTATACACTAACTTAACTCAATCTATATATTCTTACTTGATAATTGATTAAATTTACTACTGCATGCTTAAGCATTTGGCTAGGTTCAGCCAAGCGTTGGACAGCTGTTAGTTGGCCTTGATTAAATTGAGTTGAGGGTATTTCGATTCCTTCTTCTAATGTTTCTGGGAACATAGCAGCTCTAACTCGTTGTGTTCTAGACTGACTAAGTTGTTGGTTCATTTCTGGATAATTTACAATTATTATAAATTTATATAAATAATCATAATACACTTCAATTATTTATACAAACCGTCAACTTGATCTTGGGTAAAACCATGAGAAAAACCTTGATTTAGTTCATAGATTAATTGATCTCTTTCCAAGTCATCTTCTTTGTCATTAATAGAATGGGCTTGGGTAGTTCCTCCTGAATGAATACCAGACTCTGGTAAGTATTGGCTTCCTTGTTGCCATATCATATTAGAATCTTTTGAATACCCCGTGTTGCTGGGTACTAAACAATAATTATAATTAAATTTTTAAGATGGATTTAATTTGAGTTAATTAGTGTGATACTTACAAACTCTTGATTGATACATGCTACAATTCCTTTATAAAAAAAATTAAACAAAAAACAAATTACAATATTAGTTTATTGATATGTATGAGTCATTAAAATAGTTTAAACCACTGAACATTTAAATGACTCATAGAATATTAATACATATATTAAGAATTTTCACTTTAAATTATTTTGCAATTTTTCACAAATTTAGTTTACTTTCAAAACATAAAAACTTATCTTTAAAAATATTAATCAATAAATAAACAATTTTTATCAGTCAATATAAAATAAATTCAAAATGAATGACTTCAATTTTTATAAAAGTTATGTAGTTTTAAAAATTTTAAATACCTGTTTCAAATATATCAAAATTGAATTTAAAAAATTACAAATGCATAGGAATTGATGAAGAAATAACTTCTAACAAAGAAAATCGTCAATGATACACCCTTTTAACTTAAAATGTTACGCATAGTATACTATCACAAAAGTTTTTCAAGTAAACACTAATATGATGTATGACTGAAATAGTGGGGATTAAGAAAGTATCAAATATGTCATATATAAAAGAGTCATATAGAAAAAGGGAAATATCTAATACGTTAATGTGTTTTTTGTGCAGAAGCGATGAGGTGAATGTACATGATTACGATCGATAGTTGTTGTCACAAACAGTGTTACCATTTTCAAAAAGTTATTTTTATTTTAATGATTCTAGTTATTTGTATTTATAATTCAAAAACTATTTTTTGAATATCGTAAAAAGTTAAAAATGTAAATTTTTTAGGTAAAAATAGTATACTAGATTAAAATGTCGAGGGTCTTTATTATAATTTCCCTCTACTATACAAATTTTTTTCATATAACAACATACTATTTATTAATAATTTAATTTTTTTAAGAACACAAAGAATAAAGTGTTAACAAAAGAAATAGGGGACCACTATCGTCGACTTATACCTATCGAATCTTAACAAAAATAACTTAACTAATTATTTGCACTAATTAGTCTATTAGTTTTTTATGATATTGAATAATATTTTAGGGGACTTGTTTTTAACTAAAATTCTGTCACTCAGTAATGTGTAAGGTTTTTTTTTCCAAACAACGGACTAGTCATAATTCATAATTAATAACATAAATAGTTATTAACAGTTGCGCAAAAATGTAGCGTTTCTTAAATTGTGTCAATTTCACAAAGCCGTGAGGGGCTCTGCCCACCAATTTACCACATTAATGTATATTGTTCAGTAAATAAGAAAACTGGTAAATTGTTACAAACAATGAGAACAATTGAAATCCGTTTCCTTACTTACTGAACACTATATAGCTCTATAATGATATAATGTATAGTTCCTGTATTTATGATGACAGTTTATAAATAGCTATATAACCAAGCTAACGATTGTGTTTGATCGATTATTTAACATGGAAATCTCCCAGTGTACTCAAATTAACGATTTTATTTGCTATAATCATTAGCGTAGCTTACATGGGGACTTAAGCAATATTTGCAGCCCTTACAAATGAATTCATTTTTTTGAGGGAAGAAGAGACAAAAGAATGAAGCTTCTCATAAGGTTTATTATCCAAAATTATAAATTAGCCCCAGAAACAAAATATTAAAAGTTGTCAATACATAAAATCATACCGCACATAAGTGGACAACTATAAAAGGTGTAAAATAATTCCTTTTTATCTTCAAAATTACAAAAATGTTGTGTTATATCAACTATGTATTCTACATAGTAAAATTACACATTTTACTTAAAAAATTACACACATATTAGTATAATAAAAGTATTAGCATTTATGATATTTACATTGGCGCAAATCCAACAAATTTGTTGTTTATGCCTAACTTCCCTCACTCTAAAATGTTTATATAAAATATATAGTCTTTTTTTAGTTTTGGAGGAACTAATTTTAAAAATAAATATTTTTGCTAAACCCCAGATAGTGGCAAATTTAAGAGGACAATATTATTTAGTAAAAAATTTTAAGGGGTATATCATGGAAGTAATTGAAATTTTATTTTCTTGGCATAAGGTCTTTCTAAATTATGTTAAACTAAAATTTGTTGAGGCATACTTTTAGTGTATTATCTCCAGGACAGCGAAATCTTAAATACGCTTTGGTGGTTAAATAGTCTGTGTATACGGCCAGTCCTCAAATTTAGTCGCTCAAATAGAATGCAAGCCGATACATGTGTTTAAAAATTAACAAAATAATATTTCGTGCTATCCTTTAAAGATTAGGAGTCCCATCGACTCGCATTCTACAAACTTTTATGTAACTTTCTTAAAAAATACCATACAGAGTGGCCCCGTTATTTAGTATATATTAAGTGGGTACTTAATCATACTATCCATGAGTCTATTGGATTCACACCAGCAAGTTTCTTCGACAATCAAGAAGAAAAGCCCCTTATAAATAGTAACATTGAATTTCATCCATGTACAACAGTGCCTCAAGAGAGGAAACTTGTTATGGCTCGCGAAGTTCAATTTTCAAAAGCTGAATAGCGTAAGCGGCGACATGATCGCAAAGGACCCGCGGTATCTTTTAATATTGGTGATAAAGTTCTAGTGCGAACTCATAAACTCATCTCTGGAGTTGACAAGCTGATAGGAAAATTTGTTTTGCTTTATGATGGTCCCTATTTGATTTCTGAAATTAAACAAAATAATTCGTATGTGGTAACTTGTCCGTTGTATTGGTAAACTAACATAAGTACTGAATATTATTTAAAACGCTCCAAACAAAATAACAATTTTTAAGACAACCGCCAAAGCAAATTTATTTGTCATTACAATAATTTAATTATTAAAAAAAGTACAATACAAAAAATACTTCAAATCAGTTAAAAAGAAAAAAACATATTTAAAGACCAATGTCTTGTTTTACACTTAAGAATACAAATTAATAATTACTATATTAAAACTAATAATTATAGTTTGAACAGTCATGAAGAATTAATAATTTTTTTGCAAGATGCAAAAGTATAGTCAAATTTTTAAATTGCTTACATTAAAAAATTAATTTAATCCAACTTTTTTACTTTATGGCAATTGTTTATATTTTTTATAATTTAAACTTAAAATATTAAAGAATAATTGTTCTCCAAAGTTACTAAATAATAATTATAATAATAATAATAATAATAATAGTAAAATATTATAATATTTTAATTAAGTTTTAAAATGAGAATCAATTTGTAATCAAAGAGGCAAGGAAGTCAGATCATTTTGAAGACCGAAATCTACATCCATAGAGCCATAATTGGAATCTTGCGGTGGACATATTTCCAATCCTTCCATTGAATCTAAGGGTAACGTGTCATACCCTAGAAAGTAAGTTACAAAATTAGATTAAAATATTGATGATATGTATATATTATGTTATGTTATTAACTATTGGCATAACGAGCACATTAATTATAGCTAACAACTGATATCATCTCAATTAATGATTGAAAATTATTTAATAGTAAATTAGAACTGTTAATAATAATTTAAAATTTCTTAAATTCATTTAATGGTTAATATCTATTTAAAAATAAATTTTTCAACATTTTATTTTCCATTGTTACATTAATTTATAGCAGTGAGATGTTTAGCCTTAAATAAACCATGAATAGTTAATTATGTTACAAAAAATTCTTGTTTAATGATAGCAATTAATATGAAAAAATAACTGTTATTTTCACATAATTAAATATAATTATATATTTCGGAGATAATAATATTATCACTTCAATAATTGCATAGATAATATATAATTTATAGAAATTTTATACATAACAAATTATATGGTTACTCTTGTTTATCAATTTTAGTGATAAATTGAAATTGAAATGCTTGACCATTTTTAATTTAAACAAACATTATATCTAGGATGTATATCTGTAAACTTAAGGATTATGAAATACAGATGATAATTTTTCGTACTTAAAATGGTAAATATATATATAAAGAAAAAATTCCTAAATTGCATCTAGTTGAGTAATTAATCTAAGTTACATTGTTATACTTACTTAAACAGAGCATTACAGAAAAACTATACATTGTTAATTAAAGCATTAGCACAATTTTCTAAATACCACTACTTACAATCATGCATTAACTTAATATATAATAACTATTGCATACCTGAAGCACTGTGTTTGGGTGACCCTACACTAGAGTAGACAGTACTCAATCCTTGACCATAAATGTCATATTCATTTGCCCCTATCATATCCTATAGAGGGAAACACACAAATCTCAAACAACTATTTACTAGTAAAAGTGTAAAAACTAAAAGTATAAAAAAATGTATATATATATATAATATAATAAATTAAGGGTGCTTATAAATTAAGGGTGCTTAATTAAAAGAAGTAATGATTTCTCAGGCTTATTCCATTAAATTCCATTGATATTAAGTTAAATATAATTTAATAAGATTTATAAATCTTGATTTATTATTCAAGAATAATAAACCAAGAAGGTCATAATTTTTGATCTTTTCTTCAAAGACTAACCCATCATCTTGAAATAATCATGGTTAAGAAACCTCATCTTAAAAGAGGCTGCAGGAGACCTAATAGGCTGTAAAAGTATGAAAAAAACTTAAAGACCCAGCAAATAAAATTTATAATTTTTTTTATACAAATTGTGCATTTAAAATGAAAGAAATGATAAAAGTAATTCCTAACTTTTCAAAATTGATCCTAAACTTTTTAATATTGATTACTAAAACAAACTGTTATGTTTATTATAGATTATTAATGATGATGTTTTTATATAAAAACAATATTTAAAATATAAATTGTAATGTGCTACTATTAGAAAGTATTTATTTTGATTATCTCTTAATTTCTTTTAATCTAAACTAATGACAAAATAGAAAATACTTAGAAAATGTAGAATATTTTATATAAAAATATAAGATAAGATATATTGTTTTTGAAATACTCATAGATAAAAATCAAATCAATTTTCAAAAATGAATGGCTGTTATTTATATTAAAGAGTTCTAAATTGGTTTGATTAATAAGGAAGTTTTGTGTAAAGCTTCCTAATATTAGTTTATTTCTAGGTCATAAAAGACTGTATTTGGCTTCATTGAGGAAAAATGAGTTATCTTTTTTTTCTTTAGAACTAGTTATTTACTTCACAAAGAAATCAAATCAAGAAGTAACAAACATTTAAAAAAGTAAAAATGAATTTATAACTTGCATGTAAAAAATTATTGTGAAAAGCAAATATCAATAAGTGCAATACAAAAAGGCACACAAATATTTGTTTGAGCTACACTTACCGTTGAGATGATAGTGCTTAATATCAAATGTATTATATTAATATAATCATACTAAATATACATGTCATTTACTTTACTTTTATAACAAAGTTGAAATAATTCATTAAAAACTAAAATGTAACAATAAAACTTACTTGAAGATCAGGTGTAATACCAAGATCGTTGGAAGGCCATAAACTTTGGTCTTCATTAAATAATGAATTAGTTAGTTCCATTGAGAGACATTTTTGTAATTTGTGTTCTGAAACTCTTGATAAAACTGCTGCAGCACAAGTAGCTTAATAAAAAAAAAAAGAAAAAGTTCAATACATTTTTTGAACATTTAATAGGTGATTAGAAACATCATTTTTCAAAAATTACAATCAATAGAAATCCAAAAAGTGTATTAATAATTATAAACTACATTTTAACAATTTAGTTTTTAGATGGTTTAAAAATGTTAAATAAAACTATTGAAATAGTTATTTAATAATTTAACCCAACTCAATTTTGGTGACCTTACTTTAAAGGTTATAAGATGATTTAATTTAAATTACTAAAATTAAAAAATAATATTGTATTAAAACTCAAAATTTTGAATTGAATACATTTTAATTTTCAATATAAAAGCATTTACAGATTCTTATATACAATATCCTACAAAAATATGTATTTTACCTAATGCTTCATTTCCACAATGCAATAGTTCACTTAATGAAGCAGTTCCTCCTTCAGCTTCTATCACTTCAGCACCTTCTTTATCTGCTGCTAACTCATTTAGAGTATCTGCAGATAAACGTTGTATATTTTCATAATTACTGAATAAAAGTTGTACCAAAACGGATATAAACCCTTGTTGAGAACGCATGATAGATCGACTTTGGGGTTCTTTTGCTAAAATACATAATGTACCAACAGCACATTCAATGACCTCTTCCATTCTGACATTATCAGGTTTAATACTTGTATTTGTATGCTAGTAGAACACCATATAAATAATTAATATATGAATACTTTTAATACATCTTTATATTTAATATAAGAATCAATTTGATAGAGAAAAAAATTTTTTATAATAGATTAATAAAATTTTAATTTACTCAAAGATTATTTATCTATAAAAAAATTTAAAGATAGCTAATTAATTATTTACATTTTGTAAATCTTGAAAAGCACGTATCAAAAGTCCAACTAAATTGTGCATTGCATTGTGTTCACAAAGATGCCCATGAGATGATTTACATTGAGCTATATTTTTCAATAGTCCAATCACGGCTTTAATAAGTGGCCAATGAGATGCCGGTTGTAATAGTTTGGCCACTATCTGAATACCACCAACACGACAAAAAATATTATGTGCATTTTCAACTTCAGAATGTCCTGATGTAATATGTCGTAATGCACAAACCTGAAGAATATACAATAAAATAACATATTAGTACACAAAATGTTGTATTATTCAACTAATTAGATTTTTAAAAATTAGATTAAAAACGGATTATAAATTAATTATTTAAATAAATTAAATTAAATAGTCTTAATTATATGATTTATATTAAAAAATAGACATAAACATTTGATTTAATTAAGCTACACTAAAAAACAAATTTTAAGACATTGAAATTGTTAATAAAACTTCCAACTTAAATTACTTTATCGTTTAGTTTACTTTCACTCTCACAATAAAACAATAAATAATAAACAAGTATTATTATAGTTTTTTAAAATATCAATTTATTTAACTTACGGCAGGTTTTGTTATCTCTTCGTTATCTCCAGCATTCATAATAGCATGTACTAATGCTTCAACACCTCCAAATTGACAAACTGTCATTTTATTTTTTTGATTGTTACATGTTAAATTTGATAATATTCCAGCAGCACAAGTCACAATATTGATATTTGAATGACCTAATGCTGTTATTAATGATTGCAGTAATTGTTCTAATCCATCAATCTGAAATTTAATCCTATTTTTTAATTCAATTTTAATTCGAAGTTAAGGATGTTGACTATATTTATTATCTTAAAGTTTTAACACTTATATAAACAAGAAAAAAAATTTTAAGAAAAAAATGAATAATTAAGAGTTAAAGATATATCAAAGTTGAACAGTATTACACCATATAATTTAAAAGATGTAACAGCATAAACTACAAAATTCACTATAATTTAATTAAAAATTTATGAAATATCCTAAAATTATAAAAATTATTAGATATTTGTTTAATATTGAAAATTTTATGTATGATGAAGTAAAAATATTTGATATATTCAAAACAGTCTATTAACAAACTTTCTAACAAAATTAAAAACACTATTGAGATAAATAATATATAATATATATTATTATATATATAATAACTAATTAACCATCTATTTTTTATAAGTCTATATTATATTATATATTTGAATATCTTTAAGCTATACATTTTAACATCAAAAAAATTTAAAGCATTAATTCAAAAAACTAATCTGAAATAGGATGATGTCAATATTATCAATTACAAATTTATTGAATAACATACTTTAGTTCCAGCATCAGATAGGTTTCTTAGAGTCCACAAAACATTATAAACAAGCTGTTGACTATCATGCTGTAGATGCATTGCCAATGCTTGCATTCCACCAGCTTCAACTATTGCAGGCTTGTTTCGAGAACAAACTGACAACACTAATAAATAAATATTAATAAAATTAATATTACAATATAATAGCATAATAATAGAATATAAATTATAAATAACAAAATGTAAAATTATAAAAATAAATAAAATACCTTTGAGAACTCGGCAAGTAAGCCACAGTAGTTTTTCATAATTGTATGAACGCATGATACGTACAAGCTCTATATGTCCTTGAGCTGCTAAAATTATGAGTTTACTTTCTTGATTTCCACAGGCTAATATATGTAGACAGTCAGTTATAATAGTTAAAAATTTAACAGTAATAGAATGACTGTTTGATTTAAATGTTAATAATGAAACCATTTTTTGTAAGCCACCAGCAACTCGTACAGCCATTTTAGAACCATCTTGATGTAATAATAAATTATGGATTGTTATAACTGCATCTCGCAAGATGGATACAACAGGAGAACTAAAGAAAAATAATTAAATTGAATATGCAAGAAAAAATTGAAGCATTGAATAAAAGGAATAGATATAGATATAGATTAATTTTTTAATTATGTCTTTAAGATATTTAAAAAATTTAATTTACATAATAACATTTATTAAATATTATATACAGATAGGCATTATAATTAATTATATTTATAAATATTAATTTAAACATTTGTACTATTTTGGGGAATAAAAATTATCATTTTATTTTAGCTATTTAATGATTTAATTTATCTACAGGTAACATTTATCTTAGGTAAACTTTAAAAAATAAAAGTATTTAATTATCAAATTGATAACAATTTTTTATATTTTTCTGAATTGATCAGTGACAAAAAAATAAAATAATGATGAAAACAAAAAAAGTATTTAGAATTTTATATTTAAAAAAGAAACTTTTAGAAAGTAAATAATTTGCAATGATAAAATTTACAAATTACTAATTTAAATTTAAAATAATTATACTTATTTTGAAAATGAGTATTATGGTAGTTCTCTATAGTAATTAATCTGTCAATATTCAAGGATAAAATTTACCTCATTAATTTAACTAAAGCTGGGATCCCTCCACTTTTGAATATTGCCAATAAACCCTGTCGATGGTTTGATAAATTACGCAATGTTCCAACTGCACCAATAGTAGTTTCTAGATCACTACTACTTGCAATAGATTTAACTAATGTAGCTATCATCTATGAATCAATAATTGAGTTAAAATTAAAATTTCATTGGAATTCATTATTTTAAAAGCAGTTCAAAACAAATAATTCAATATGTATACTTGTGGACTATTGATAATTGCATGTAGAGCTGCTTCTCTATTTGATAATTGGTAAACCATAACAGCAGCTTGAGATATAACAACTTGATCCTCATCATTAAGTAATTTTATTAATTCTGGAATTGCCCAAGTAGCTAGCTCTGCATTATCTTGATAATTTATTAAGTTAACAACAGCATATTTCAACATTTGACTTGGTCCTGTCATATTTTGTACATTTGCTGCACTATTAACATTAAACTGTGCTGGCATTTCAACATCATCTTCCAAGTTTTCATTACAGTTTTGGCTTAAATGTTGATTTAGACCTTTAAAATAAGTGATAGTTGATAACATATTCATATAAATAGATTTTAGTAAATTAGAATGGTAATAAAAAAAAATTTAAGATAAATTAAAGTTTTCTTCTATAATTCTTATAATATAAAAATAATATATAATATATGATTGGTAAAAATTTTTCCTCACTTTTATCCCAACTACTTGGAGTCAACCATAAATTACAAAAAATAATAAAAGAAAATATCTAGTTTCAATAATTATTATAACACCAAGATGTTACTAATACTAAATTTCACAAATTTTATATTTTTAATTATAAAACTTTATTGTACCATTTAGCAGGATTATAATTAAAATAATTATATGAAGTCTGGACCAAATTCATTCAATTTACAAACATGTTAAAGTTTCAACTTACATTTATACCTTCTCCTAAAATGTATATTACACATTTTATAATACATAATATATGTTATACTTAAATAAACAGCATCACCAATCTGATACTTACAGCTTATGCTCTACAATTAATTCTCCTTGGGTAGTTAAAGAATATAAACGAAACATGTAAAAAAGACCCCCTCCTAAAATAAAACCCTATATAATTGCCTTACAAAACTATCAGGTATAAAAATAATAACTTAATATACAAAAGCCCATTTTTAAAAACTTTAGTAATATTTTTACCATCAACATGCTCATGAGGAAATGATTGTGGAAATCCTTGATCAAGGTCAAAAAGTAGTCGATCCCTTTCCATATCATCTTCTTTAGTAGTAATAGAATGTGTTTGAGTACTACCACCAGATTGTATCCCAGAATCAGGCAAATATTGGCCTCCTTGTTGCCATACTAAAGATGGATCCTTAATATCCAATGGATCATTTATAGAATTCACCATGTTTCCAGCAACTTAATAAAATTATTTTGAATTTCAATACAATTAAAGAAATATAAAAGAGTTTTTATATATATTCACTTACTGTTTCGAGGCTGGTAACTCATAACTGAGGATATTAATCAACAATCTAAAATAATAAGTTATTTATTAAAAAATTAATATAAAATTTTAATTCACACTGCACTCCCTAAATAGTTCTTCCATTTCATTAAATGGTACTCTCATTCCTTGATAATCTCTATCCAAGATCTCCTATCTTTACATAAAACTAACTTAAAATCAAATTTTTATTTCATTTTAAAACGCCAACATATAAATTACTATACAAATAATACAGCTTACTAAAAATAAATAAATCAAAGTCTTAAGATGTACAATTTAAATTACTACATACCACAGTAGAAAGTGAACTTTACCAATAAATTGATAATCGATATTTATTTTTGTCGCTTAAGAACTCATTTCTCAATAGTACTTAAAATAAGATTACGACTCCGCAGAATCAAAGTAAAATGAACACAAAATGGCGTTTGGGAGATTTGTGAGGGTGTATGATCCTTTGTGGGTTGTCGGTATTAGCAGGAGGCAGCCTGATATACTGGTAGAATACAGGTTCACAATTCACATTCCAAGCCGAAATTTAAGTGGGGGAAAGTACTGACCCAACAAGGACGCATGGTGGTGTATGAACTCTTATTGAGCTCATATCATAATAATATTATGGTTTATTATCATTAATTTAAAGCGGGAAGAAGGTTAATTAAATTATTTTATTTTGATAATGTTAATTAATTAGATATTTTATTAAAATTTAAATATTGCATTATATGAAAAATTGTTTTGATATTTTGGAATACAAAAAATACAGTGATTGAATAATCTTTTATTACCAATGCGTTACTATTGGTACACCTTACAGCTTGTAAATCACCTTACCAATTAGTTATGAACATTATAGATTTTTTGATAATAATATAAAATATATCATCAACATTCTTCTATTATCTAGAGTACTCTTATCGAACAAAAGTATGTGTAAGTTGTTGGTCAGCAACCTGACGTAATAAACTACATTAACATATAAAATTAAAAATTAAAATAAACAGCGATGAATAGAGAATGTACATTTTGTTTTTAATACTAAATCGTAGTGTTAAGTAATATATCCTCAATATTTCACTTTGATCAAATATATGACGGATGTTACTATTTCACTAATTAATATAATAGAATGATGTTACGGGTTTATTAAATTGCCATTTTGATTATTTGTATTCTAGATTTAAAACTTTTTCAACTGCCAAGGTAAAATACAATTTGTAAGATTAATGTATTACACTCTTTTTTATTTTAAAGAGATTATTTTAATATTATATACAATTTTGTTACAATCTTTATATAACATATTAATAATACTACTATATTAAAAAAATTTAATAGTTTTAAACTTCAATAACTCATTTATAAATTATTGAAATTTTTTTTAATAATAATAAATAAATAATATTAATATTCAGGTATAATCATGCAATCCATAATAGATAACCGTTTTCAATGTTCTATATGTTTGAACTGTTTAAAAAATCCAATGCTTACAAGATGTGGACATCGTTTCTGTTCTGATTGTATCCTTGCATGGTTAAAGTAAGTTAATATAATTAATACTTTTAGATTTCGTTAATGACTAGAAACAAGTGATGGTTGATTTTATTGATATTAATTATTCATCGTGTAACTTTATTTGTAGACGCAAAAGTCAATCCTGCCCAATTGATTCTGAATCTTTATCAGTTGAAAGTCTATTTCCAGATAACTATACTAAACGTGAAATAGATGAACAAACTGTATCTTGTTCAAATGATGGTTGTGGTGTCATTATTCCATTATTAGAAGCAGATGATCATTTTTCAACTTGTAAATTTAGTAAAATTAAAGTAATATTATTATTATAAAATAATTTAGTCATCTGATACTAAAATATTTATATTTTAAAATATATTTATAGATTAATGGAGTCAATGAAAATATTTGTCCATTTAATTCAATTGGATGTGAAGTTTTTTTAAATACTGAAAAAGAACTATTAAATCACCTTGAATTAAATTCTCTGAAACATTTAAATGTATGTAGATTAGTAAAAATTATTTTATGCTAAATAATAAAAAAAAAAAAAAATTCTAACTTATTTTTAGTTATTATCAAAATCTCACTTGGAACTATTAAAAAAGATTCGTCTTAAAGAAGAAGTGCAATATAAAACATTAGAAGCTACCCAATTTTGGGATGCAAATAAAGATCCAAATTCGGAAAAAGCATTACTATGGTTAGAAATTGTTGATATTTGTTATATAAATAATAGGGGTTACCGTGCATAAAAACTATTACTTTGGTTACTAAATTAGTTTACATGGTACATTAGATTAAACAAATGGTTTATTAAGTAATGACTTAACATTTTATTTTCAGTTAATTAAGTATCTATGGATAATTCTTTAAATTATTGCAGTAAAAAAAGTTATTTCACTCAATATTCCTTAATTAATCTTATAAAATGTTGAGTATTTAACATGTAATTAACCTTCAAAATTCATAATACGGTAGCATATCTTTATTTTTTAAAAATTTCAACAATTGGGGAAAGTTATATTATTTGCTTTTCTCAAAAAGAAATATCAAAGTTATCAAATCTTAATTTTAATTAGTTTACTTTCATTTAATTAAACATAATTTTTTAAGAATGAATTTGGCTTAAAGTAAAACATATCAAAGCATATTATTGTTGTTAACTGACTCATTACAAAGTATAATTTTGAATTTTTGATTCTCCTATATAATGATTGTCTTATAAAACCTATTAATTATTCAATACTTTCTAGCAACCTGTTTGAAAGAATCGTTGTATTAGAACAAAGTAGTATTGAGAAAGACAAGGATATTAAACGTCTCATTGAAAATAATAATGAAAACAATAAAAACATTGAACAGTTGAAAGAATTAGTTAATAATTTAAGTTTAGAACTATCACAATCACAAAATATCTTATCATTAGCAATATGTAATGGTGTTTATGTTTGGAGATTTGAACATTTCATGGAATCATTTAAACTAATGAAAGAAAAGCCATTAAATACTCGTTTTTATACTCCTGGGTTTTATACTTCTTCTACAGGATACAAGTAAATTTCTTTATGTGTTCTTAAATATTTTAATTAATTAAATATCTATTAATTGTATACAGTGTGAATTAGTTAAAAAATATATTTGAATTAAATAGTATATCAAACACCACATGAATAAAATTAAAACTTTTGTGTAAGAAATATAATTTTTAATCTAGAGTATGTGGCCGAATGAATATGTCACTCGATAACCAGAATCTTTCTCTTTTTATTCATATGATGCGAGGTGATTATGATGATACATTAGTATGGCCATTTACCGGACATATTACTTTATCATTAATACATCCAACTGATTCTGCAAAAACTGTTTGTTTAAAAATGGAATCATCAGCAGAATCTGAAGCCTTTAGACGATGTTCATTTGGAAATGGTAATGAAACACCACCTTTAAATCCAAGAGCTTTTGGTTATAGTGAATTTGTAGCTATTGAAGAAGTATTACATCATGGATTTTTAAAAGATGACACAATTGTAATTAAAATAATTGTTGAATGTATTTAAAATTGATCTCATTTTACTGATTTTTGGTGATAAATTTTTATAATATGTGATTTTATATATCATTAAATCCGTCCGTTTTAGAGTTTTAGAATAAAGAATTATTTGTATTCCATTTTAAATTGTGTAGTCATTCATTTCCATAGCCTGATAGGTGATTCTTATATGGTAAAGATTTTTTCATTTTATAATCTTTAGCTATATCAATATCCTAAAAAAATTTACTTCATTTTATAACTGTTTAAAAATTATCTAAGAAAGAAGAATACACTTACAGAATGTGGTATCCACCAATCCAAAATTTTAAGTAATATATGCATAAATGAAACAACTAATAAAAATGGGTATACTCCAGTTGATAGATAACTGTGGTAATAAAATTAATTACTTACCAGTTTGATAAAATTATAAAAATTATAATCTAACCTGCGTAATTGTTTCCCTATGGGCTTGGGATTTTCCAGAGATATTCTATTATAGACTATTTCAGTTCTTTTGGCAACGTTCATCCAGTTATATAGGGATTGAACTATTTTATGGCATTTAGTTGGTGACATTCCAATATTATTATTTACTTGATATATGGCATGCTTCAATCCTTTAAGTATAGCTGAAAATGATTATATATTTTTATGTTTACAGTTTTTGTGAAGTAACTGCAATAAAATAATTTTTAATACATGGAACATTTGGTTCAGTTAAAATTATGAGTTCTGGAGGTAATACTTCAGGAACACCCCCTACTCTAGTGCTGACAATTTTCAACCTAAATTAAAAAGTAAATTTTTGTTTTACAAAATTATAAATTAAATTTAACCACAAAAAAATAAGCCATACCCACAAGATGCAGCTTCCACAATAGCCATACAATAAGCTTCAGTTAATGAAGTATTTAAAAAAATATGTCCTCGATTAAGTACATTACATACTTGAGAATGTTCTAAGCTGCCAAGTAAAGTTACTTGACTAGTGATATTTAAATTAGTGCGTACATCTTCTAAAAGATCACGTTTAGGGCCATCTCCTCCAATTAAAAATTGAACCTGTCACAAAAAAATATGTGAGGAAATTGAATTATATTATTTTTTATTCTGAAATTCAAACTTTTGGATTTTCTTGACAAACATCTGCAATGACTTGAGCTAATAAATCCACTCCTTTTCTATAAACCAAACGACTTAATACAACAACAGTTACTGCACATATAAAAATTTTATAATTACTTATATCAATCTTTTAATAATAAAAAAAAATGTATGTATATATAATGACTTTTATCTGAAGTTCTTAAATCTAATTTTGGAACAAATGCAGTAGTGTCAACAGCATTTGGTATAACTGATACTCTCTGGTGATTAACACGAGCTCTTAAAACTGTATTTTCTTTTCTATAACAATTTTTTTGAATAAATTAATAAATTACTCTGTAATAAAAATTTTTTTTCAAAAAATTATGCTACAATAAAATTTATTGTAGTAAATATATAACTTAATTTATCGTTTTAGGTTACGAAATTATATTTAATTTAAAACTACTGAGATTAGAATATTCCCTAATTACTGTAAAAGGAAATAATAATTTTTTTAATTTAAATAAATTAATAGCCTTAACTATTTTAATACAAACATGTGATGCTTTTTATAAAGACAAAAAAGAAACAACTAAATCCATATTATATAGTATTGATATTAATAACGGTATTAAACAAGAAATGTTAATAAAATAGACAATGGATAGAAAGCTCAATTTTAATCATCAAATAAAATCTTTATACATAGAGTAACATTGAATTTAAATTCAATTATAATTAAACAATAAAGAAATTAAAATGAACAAAATATATTTACCCAATATGTGATACACATATGCAGTGATTACAATCAGCAAGAGACATTTCTAAGAATTTGTTGGTAATGATAGCTGAAGTATCAGCAAAACCAAAAAGTGAATGATCAGTGAATACAGTCTTAAAAAAAGGATTCAAATTAAAAAAATTACTAATTTAAGTCAAAGTGTTAAATTGTTTGGAATAATTCAAATTTACTTGAATTCCTAGTAAACGACCAATCATCATGGTCTCATGAGCCAATGTGGAAAATGCTGAATGACCATGTATAATAGTGATTTGTTCTCTAATTAATATGTATCTTATCAGAGGCAATGAACAAACCATTAATGGTAAAACACATTGATTATAAAAGGGTTTGATTGGAAGATAATAAACCTATAAAATAATTTTAATTAACATGTTCATAAAAAATTAATAAGTAATAAAAACTATTTACTTTTAAGCCATTAGTCATATATCTTACTCCTACACGGTCCTTATAAGAATGTGTTAATACAACAACTTTATAGCCTTTCATTAAGAGACATTGAGATAAATTAAATATATGCTCTTCGACACCACCCATATTTGGATAAAAAAAATCAGAAGCCATGCTATAAACAAATATAATTATTAAAAATACTTAAACACTAGAGCGTTGAAAGCTTGCATTAATTAGCTAAAATTAAACTAGATTGGGTAAAGTTTAGGCCAAAGTACAAAAAATGTTTTCAGTAACGAACTTATAAATTATTTGAGAGAATTTCTGATAACTCGAAATATTTTTAAAAAACATAATAGTTATTAAATTTAGCCATTAAGGGGTATATTGAACCAGCTTTGAGTACCAATGTAGATAATGAAAAATAATAAAGTTTAAATTAACTTTTAAAAATTTGAACAAATCAAAATTCAATTTTCTTTTTTTTAAGAAGAACTATTTTTAAGTGTATTTTAAATATAAGAAATTAAAAACCCTTTTACATACCATATCTTGTGTTTCATTTTAAAAATTGGATATATTTAAAAAATAAAATATTTTCAATATATTTTGATTAATATCACTATTATTAATACTGCTACAAATAAGATAAAATTTCATCTTAACTGTACTACAACTAATATCAAATTTAACTTTATTATGTGATAATCATAGATCTTAAAAACATGGATGCTTTATCAGTGAAGAATATGGTGATAGTAAATTGAGACTATTTGTTTGCGTTATTACATGATAAGATTTTACTTTTTATTATTTAATGGTTAGTAATAAATAATTAGTATAAGTTCTATAATTTATAATAATGCATGAGTTAAAAGTTGGGAAAACATCTTTGCCACGAACTGATAATGGTCCGATATTTGACAAAATAGTAATTGTTCCAAACACCATGTACTCCGACCATCTGATACCCAAGGCTAACATAACCACGACGATTTTTACTCCAACATTTAAATAAAAAAATAAGACTGTAAAAACTCCAACATTACTGATAGTTTAATAGTTCGATTATGAAACGAAATTAATGTTATATTTTGATTGTATTATTAGTAATAGGGCGCATCGATTGTATATGTTGCAACGTCAGGGTTACGTTGCTTAAACGTTTTTTGTGTTGTGAATTAATTATTAATAATATTATAACATTTAAATTTAAATTAAAATGTTTTTTTAAATTAGTATTTATTTTATTAATTTTTTTCACGAGTATTCCTTGATATTTTATTTATCAGTAGTTAAACATTTTATAATATTAAATAATTGTTGTTCCCCTTAATAATATGTACTTAATACATTTCTTTATTATTAATAAAGTAACCAAGATGATTAGTCTATTTAATTTATTTTATTCTGTATTATTAATTAGTAAAAATATTTTATTGATTAATTTTAAAATTGTATCTAGTTTAAATTAAAATTACCACTGTTCCATGAATCTAATAAATTATTTAAAAAAATTTCAACACAAAAAATAAACTCTTATAGCATTATTTTTTAAACATAGTATTTATAACTAAATGAAAATTGTAATTTTTTATAAATATATGATTATTATGAATGTGTAATATATAAATTTACAATATTTTAGCTTCGATGCGAAGCTGAGAAGGTATTAATTTTACTATGATGTGTTTTTTTTTTTTAAGTCTGTTGCCACTTTTTCTCAGCTCTCACTGGACCGATTTCTTTCAAAAGTACGTCAAAAGATCACAAATCGTATCTAGTTGAAGACATTACCCTTAAAAATTGAAAAAAATTCCCTC